CTTGCGCTGAAGCACGACTGCTTCCGGCTCGCAGGCGGCGGCGCCGCGGAGCTCGGCGCGGATTTCGAGGCGCGCGCCGCCGCGCGGCTGCGACCGCTCGAGCAGCCGCCGCCGCAGCAAAAGAAGCCGTTGCAGGTCGCGCCGAAGACCAGCAGCGGCCGCCGCGGAGGCCGCCGCAAGCGCCGGTTCAAGGAGAAGTTTGGCTGGTCGGTCGAGCGCGAGCGGCTGAGGCAGCTCGGCGTCAGCGGCGAGGACGCGGAACTGCATCTCAGCGACTCGGGCTAGGAGCGCGAGCCGCCCATGATGATGTTGTTCACCGGGATGAACACGAGCTTGATGATGTACGAAATGAAGCCCATCACGAAGAAGCTCGAGAGGCACAGCTTCAGCATGTGCAGAAGGTCTGCGTGGCGGCGCGGCGGACTCACCTTTCGCGCCGGGCTTGTTCGCCTGTTGCACGAAGCGCGCGCTGTCGGTCCAAAAGTCCGACACCAAAGTGGTCGCGAAGCCCAGCGGGTGGTTTGGATCGCTAAAGACTGCGTGGCCCATGATTGTTTAATCGCTGAAAATTCGTTGTTAAATCTTTTCGCCGCGAAAAAGCTGCGCTCGGTGGGCCGACTATTCTGTCGCTCCGATTCGCTGAGTGAGCTCCGGCGCACTACTTCGCGCAAATTCTGAGATGCCGCGTCGCGTGCCCGCGCGCGGCACCCGTGTGGAACGAGCCGGCGCAGCGAGCGCCGCGGACGGCAAGCAGCACGCGGCGCCAGCGCGCGCAGGCGACGACTCCGGCTCTGGTTTCGTCGCCGGTTCCGGTTCCGGTTCCGATTCCGATTCCGAACTCGGTGTTGGCTCCAGTTCCGTCGCCGCTTCCGGTTCCGCTTCCGGTTCCGCTTCCGGTTCCGCTTCCGGTTCCGCTTCCGGTTCCGATTCCGGCTCCAATTCTGGCTCTGATTCCGAACTTGGCAGTGTTTCTGATTTTGAGTCCGGTTCTGAGTTCAGGCTCGAGGCAGGCTCTCCGCTCGATGGCGAAAGTGCGGAGACGCGCGGCGCTGGCGGCGAGCGCGAAGACAAACTGCTTTCGTTTGAAGCGCTCGAGGAGCTGAAAGTCAGCGAAGATTCTGCTACCGAAGCGAGCGACGAGCTCGAACAGCTGTACCGCGCGCCAGAATCCCGCTCCGAGGACAGCGAATCCGCCGTGACGGAGCTGCAGCTTTCGGACGAAGAAGTCGACTGGCTCCCGCGCTTCGACGTGGCTAAAACCGCGTCGTCTCGCGCTGCCACCGCCACTGCCGCTGCTGAGCCTTCGGCTGCGCGCGGCGAGCGGCTCGCCACAACGCACTGCGCGAACAGCGCGTTCGTCGAAATGCTGGTCGCGCAGCTGCTGCGCCGTGCGAGCCAGGGCCAGCAGCGCGTTAAGACCGACTTCGTGAAAAGCCTGCTTGCGCTGCACTTGCTGTACAACGTGCTGCTCCGCGTTGACAACGCCGTGCTGCGCCGCTGGCTGGCCGCCTGCGAGACGCGCGTGCAGAGCAGCGGCAAAGACGCGCGCAAAAGCGGCGGTCGGCGGCCGTTGCTCGAGCAGCTCGTGCGGCTGTTAGTGCAGCTGTCCTCGATGCACCTAGCGGCGGCGGAGGTGATCCCCGCCGCCGTGTCTGCGCTCTTCGCGCCAGCGACTGTGGAGCTCGAGAGCGCCGCGCTGCAGCAGCAGTTAACCGCATTGGCCGCATTCCCAAACGAGCGGCGACTGCTCGTGTTGCAGTTCTGCGGCGATACGCTGCTGCAGGCACTGCAGCGCCGCGTGCAAGCGCTGGGCGCAGAGCTGCGCGCGCAGCTAGACGCACTGCTGCACAGCGAGCAGGCGGCCGTTGCAAAGCACCGGCTCGACCAGAGTCTGGGCCGCAAAGTGAAGGCTAGCGAAGCGAAGCGCTGAGCGGCTCACGCGCTCAGCAGCGCATCGGCGACGGCCTTGGGCTGCGTGGCTGCGCTGCGCACTTACCGAAATGACGCGTAAGTCCGCGTAGGTCTGCCCGTTCCCGACAAACAGCACTGGCTTTTTCGACTCGAACGCAACGTTCAGCACCGTGCCCATTTTCCCGTCGACGCAGTCGAGCTTCGTCAAAATGATGCCGTCCACGCCGCGTTTTCTCGCAGTTTGCTTTTTCATCGTCTCGTCGAACGCGCACAGCTGCGCGAGTCCCGAGCTGCCGACCGTCGCTTCGCACACGAACACGTTCAGGTCTGAAGCGCAAGCGTCTACCACGGCGCTCAGTTGCTTCAGCAGCTCGTTGGCCGTGTGCAGCCGTCCGGCGGTGTCGACGATCAGAACGTCGTACTGCCGCGCGAGCGCGTGCTGCCGCGCGCGGCTCGCAACCGCGCTTGGCTCGAGCCCGTAGCCTTGTTGGAACAGATCGAACGGCACGTGCTGTGCGTGCAGCGCGAGCTGTTCGACCGCGCCGCTGCGGAACGTGTCGCAGGCTGCGACTAAAATCTTCGAGCTCACGCTGCTGCGCAGCAGCGTCGCCAGCTTCGCGAGCGTGGTGCTTTTGCCGACGCCGTTAGTGCCGAACAGCACGATCACGTGCAGCTGCGCCTTCAGCACCGCGCGCCGCGCGCTTGCGAGTGGGTCTGCGAATCTGTCGAGATGGCGTTCAAACTTACTGCTGCGTGACAAGCGCCGCGAGCACGTGCTTGCGGGCCACGGCTTGTAGGTTGCGGTTGGTCGCGGCTTTGTTTGCGCTCAGCAACTCGCTCTTCACAACTGCCACCAGCTGGTCCGCAATGCCCGCGTGCACGTTCGCGCTAACCAAGTCCTCAAATAGTTTGTCGTAGCCGCGCAGGTTGACCCGGTAGCCGAATACCACCGCGCTGAGTTTTCGGCGGATCGCGCGCAGCACGGCGCGGATGATGCCGGGTTTCTCGCTGCGCTTCAGCAGCAGGTGCGCGGCGGGCGCTTTGCCGCGCGCCGTCTGCTGCAACTGCTGCAGTCGGCTGAGCAACAGCTGGTTGTCGACCGCCAGCGCGCCGTCGCGCTCGAACTCTGCGGCGACCTCGCCGAGCAACTGCACCAGCGCCGCGCCGTGCGCGTCGCGTTCCGTCGGTGACTCGAGCACCGCATACGCGACCACCGCCGCACTCGGCGACGCGCTCGTCAGCAATAAGTTTTGCTGTCGCGCGGCGCTCAGCGCCTCGTAGACGTTCTTGCGGCCGGTCTTCATCCGCGCGAGACCCACGCCGTTGGCGGAAGTGACGCACAGCAGCGAAAAAACCGACTTGCCCACAGCCATTCCTCTAGCCTTTTCCTCGCGCGCGCTGCGGAGACTAACTTGCTCGTGGAAACAATTTCGATAATTGATCGCACTGTAACGAATATCTTATGGGTAAAAATAAACGCCAAATCGCCGGCGTTGCAAACGCCGACGCTTCGCGTGGTGAAGGTGATCTGCCGCGCTTCGGCAGAAAGTTCTACGTCGTCGCGCTTGTGGTTGCTGGTTTTTTCGCCGCGTTCGCGAAGCTGTCGTACGACGGCTCGCGCTTTCGTACGGACACTGATCGCGCTAAGCTGTTGGACTTTGACCCGTACGAGACGCTGCAGCTGCAGCGAGGCGCGACGCACGAAGCCATCCGCAGCAGCTATCGCAAGCTCAGTGCGCGGTACCACCCGGACCGCAACCGCGACTGCGGCGCGGAGTGCGAGCGCCGTTTCAAACAAGTCGCGCTCGCGTACCGCGTAATCGGGAAGGACGAGCCGCGCGTCTTCTACGATAAGACCGGCATGTACATGCCGGAGACCGTTGTAGACATTTCGCGGTTCGAACTGCAGGTGACGCCGTCGTTGATGAAGTCTGTTGTGCAGCCCACGATGCGCGGCGGCGTACACGAGTTTTCCGACCAGATCGCGCCCTCTTTCCTGTACTTCGGCATCAACCACAGGAAGCGCCTCACGCCGGGGATGAACTCGCTCTTTGAGCGGCTCGCGCTGTCGCTGTACGGGCGCGTTTCGGTGCTGCGCGTGGATTCTGGCGACCTGCGAGCAGTCAAGGCGCTGCCGGTCACGCCGGCCGAAGAAACGTTTGTTTTCTTGCACAGCTACTCCGACACGCCACTATTCTTGCCGCTCGACACCGTAAATAATGCATCGGCGCTGTACAAGTCCGTCATCAAGGCCATTCCCAACCGGTTTATCAAGGTCTCCGGCTCGCGCGACGATTACTTGGCGCTGCTTGAGCCTGCGTACGACGTTGACGGCCGCGTGTTGGTCGGCCTGACCGTCGCTCCGCAAGTAAAGCAAATTCCTTCGCTGCTGAAGACCATTGCGCTCGAGTTCTCGCACTCGGTGCGATTTTACGTGCAGCGCCTCAACCACCGCGAAGCTGCGAAGTTCGCCTTCGAGTACTACCACGACGGTCGCCTGCAGCGCGTCGTGCTGCCGTCGAAGCTCGCCGAGTTCGACAAGAACCCGGGCAACTTCCAGCTCGATGTGCACGACTCGAATTTTTCCGAAAGCAGCATTCCTGCGTACAAAGCGAAGCTTGAGCTGCGCCGCAAGCTGGGACTCGTTTTGCTAAACTTGCCGCCGACCGCCAACAAGGAAAACCTACCTTATTTCTGCGGGAAACATGACGAAAAACGCGTCTGCCGATTCGTGCCTGCGCCGGAGTCGAGTACCGTGGTCGCGCCGGACTTCAAGATTTTTAACCTAGTTGCCGTCACTCCGCAGTTGAAGAACTGGGCGCAGCAACACGTTGCGACGGTGTACAACATCGGCAAAGGCGTTGCGGAGGGCGAGCTGGTGCGATCCGGCAGTGTTGTGACGTTCCGCGCGAAAGACTGGACCGCCGCAAACTTTCCGCAGAAGTGGTTTGGGACGAGCCAGGCGCCGTTTTACGTTGCGTTCTATTCGCACTTGAAGAAGCACCGCGCAGTCTACGGAGGTAGTGGCGCGGCGTTGTTTTTCCTGTATGCGTTGTGTCGGTTTCGGTGCGCACTTAGGAAAGAAAAAAAATTGTGAGCGCACAACACGAAGATGCACGCGGTTGGACTGCTTGCGTTAGCGTTTCCGGCGCTGGCGCGCACGCAGACTGGCGTGTTGCCGCTGCAGCACGAAGAAAATGTGTCCAGCGCGCAGCAGCTCAGCGTGTACCGACCTGCGACGCAGGTCGCGTCGGAGGTGGTGGACGAGCTGTTGAACACCGTGACTCTGTCGCCTAGTCCCTACTCGAGCCGCGGAAGCAGAGTGCTGGTGTACTGCTACCCGTTCGAGGACGAAGAGCTGCTGACCAAGTGTCTGAAGGGCGTGCAGGAATTTTCCGGGACCGGGTTGATCGTGCCACTAATGAGCGAGCTGCAGTGGCGCAAGCCGAAACAGTATTACGCGAAAGTTGCGCAGTTGAAGCGGGAGCTGCGCGCGCTGTCTGAGTCGATGGAGCTGGTGGGCATTGCGTACGAAAATCCGAACTGGGAGCTGATTGAGGCGATCACCACGGAGATGCCGAATGTGTTCGACGGCGTGTTGATCGAGTGGGTCGGCGAAGGCGCGTGCATTTGGAGAGTCGCTGCGCCGTCGGCCGCGCAGCTCGGTGCGATCCACCGCTTCGCAGGTCCAGTCTACTACTTCTTTCGGCAGCAAGACTGCGAAGCCGATTTGCTGACCTCGCTCACGCACAACGCGTACTACAACCCGAATGAGAAGGTGTTTGCGGAGGACTTGCGCGTGACCGAGGGCGAGTTTCCGAAGTTTCTGCTGCCGGTGTTCGGCTGCTTCGGCGGCGAAGAAGGCAGTTGTTACAAGTCCCACCGAAACTACACGAGCTCCGCGTGCAGCGCTGCGCAGCTGTACGCCTGGAGCCCGCTTGACATGATCGGCTCGTTGGTGATGCACTTCCGCAATGAGACGTGTGTGGGGCTCGGCGACCAGGTGCTGTACAACGTGGTCTAGGCAGGCGCGGCTCAGTCGGTCAGCGTTTTGTTGAAGTACTGTGTTGCGACGACTTTCGGCTCGAAGGCCAGCCGCAAACAGCAGTTTGGCGTCAATTTCTGCTGGCGCGCGCTGGAACTTACCGCTCGGTACAGCGAATAGTTTTCCGGAATGTTGACGTACGGCGGGCCCGTTTTCAGCGAGACGACGCTTTGCGTTTGAGCGACGGACGGGTGCAAAAACCGGGTTACTACGAGGTCGGTGAGCTGTCGCCCCGTGAAAGAGGGCTTTACTTGGAACGTGACGAAAGAGTTGTCTGGCGCAAAGACTTTGACCTTCGCGACTTCGTAGTTCGGCTCGTTTTGCACGCGCAGCAACTGCTGTTTCGCCGAATTCTGGAACTTGAGCACGTTGCGCATTTTTTGCAGCAGCGCTTCGTTTACCAGTTTGAGGTTGTCCAATGCGTACAGCTGCTCGTCTTCGTCGCTTCCAGACTGCGCGGCCGTGACCGAGCTGGCGGCGTGGAACTCGTACTGCAAGTCTAGCGCTGTGTCCCACGCGGCGAATTCGCGCTTGAGGTGTTCGTGCTCCAGGAGTTCTTTGATGCGCGTATGGTCGTAGTCGGCGCGTTCTTCAGGAGTGGGGCGCAGCGCGTGCTCGGGCGGCAGCAGGTTGGTGACGCGCGGCTGGAACAGCTCGCTGCTTTCGTGCACGTCGCGGGCGCGCTCTTTGAACTCGACGAGTTGCAGCAGGCGCTGCGCGGCGAACTGGAGCAGTTCGCGGTCGACTTTGGCGAGTTCGTAGTGCGACTCGCGCAGTGCGAAGCCGAGCGCGTAGAGCAACGCGTTCGCGGGCTTCAAGTGGATAAGCTCGGCAACCGCTTTGCTCTTCGCGTTGATGGCGCGGTACTGCGGATCGTCGGGGTGCTCCAACACGTTCAGCACGATTTTGGCGAGCAGCTTGAATAGTTTGACGGTGCTTTCGTCGGAGGCGGAGCTCCGACTGACGAAGTCAATGAGCGCGTCATTGAATTGGTCGACGGGCGCGCTTGGCGTACGCTCCGAGGAAATCTTCATAATTCTTCCTCGGCGAGAATTAAAATAAGTATAATTGGAAGATATGCATTCGTCGCGGGCGTATGCTGGAACGGTGCCTGCACTCGAGCCGGGCCAGAAAATTGGCGGCGCGTTCGCACTGCAGAGCAATGGATCGGCCGCGTTCATAGCGCGGCGCGTCGCGCTCTTCGAGCAGTTGAAGGCCGCGAAGGCGGCGGCGCGCGCGGGTGACGCGGGCACGGCGATCGAGATCCGACTGCCAGACGGCTCGGTGGCGGCGGGCAGCGCGGGCGTCACGAGTTTGCAGGACGTGCTGTCGCCGCAGCAGCTGAAGAAGACGTTGGTCGCGCGCGTCGTGTTCGACGAGCCGCTCGACGCTCAGGACGCGGAGTTCTCGCTCAGCGACGACGAGGACTGCTGCGGCGGCGACACGCGCGGCGTGCTGTGGGACCTGTTCAAGCCGCTGCCGGCGAGCTGCAGCGCGCAGTTATTGGGCTACGATGACGCAGATGGCAAGTACACCTTCCTGCACAGCGCGGCGCACTTGCTGGGCGCGTGCGTGGAACACTTGTTTGGCGCGCTGGTCACGATTGGGCCGCCGCTGCAGAACGGCTTTTACTACGACTTTTACCTGGGCGACGCGCACGCGGTGTCCGAAGAGGACTACGCGGCGATAGAGAAGACGGCGCTGAAGCTCGCGGGCGCTGGCCACTGCTTCGAGCGGCTCGAGGTCACAAAGGACGAGGCGTTGCAGTTGTTCAGCGAGAACCCGTTTAAGCTTGCGCTGATCAACGCGAAGGTGGTCGGCGGCACCTCGGTGTACCGCTGCGGCGATTTCGTCGACCTGTGTCGCGGGCCGCACGTGCCGAGTCTGCGCGCGGTAAAAGCGTTTCTCGTCGAGAAGCATTCTGCGACGTACTGGCTTGGGCACTGCGCGGGCGACTCGCTGCAGCGCGTATACTGCAACGCATTCGTTTCGAAGACGGACTGCGCGGCGTACAAGAAGCTGGTCGCGGAAGCGAAGCTGCGCGACCACCGCGTGCTCGGCTCGGCACTGAAGTACTTTTTCTTCGAGCCGGGCTACTCGGCAGGCAGCTGCTTCTGGACGCCGGAGGGCGCGAAAATTTACAATAAGCTCTGCGCGTTTCTGCGCGCAGAGTACCGCGTGCGCGGCTTCCGCGAGGTCGTCACGCCAAACCTGTTCACGGACGATTTCTTCAAGGTTTCCGGCCACTGGCAGGCGTACGCGGAGAACATGTACAAGCTGGACATTGAAGGCAAGCAGTGGGCGCTGAAGCCGATGAACTGCCCGGCGCACTGCTGCATCTTCAAGTTCCTGTGTCCGAGCTACCGACAATTGCCGCTGCGGCTCGCGGACTTCGGCGTGCTGCACCGCAACGAGTTAAGCGGAAGCTTGGCGGGTTTGACGCGCGTGCGTCGGTTCCAGCAAGACGATGCGCACATCTTTTGCGCGGCGAGCCAAGTGAAGTCGGAAGTTAAGGCGTCGCTCGAGTTCCTCGAGTTCGTGTACGGGCTATTCGGCTTCAGGTTCGAGTTGTTCTTGTCTACGCGTCCGCAGAAGGCGATCGGCGCGTTGACGCTGTGGGAGCAGGCGGAGCAGCAGCTGACCGACTCGCTGAACGAGAGCGGGCACAAGTGGACGCTGAACAAGGGCGACGGCGCGTTTTACGGGCCGAAGATCGACGTGAAGCTCTACGACGCGATGGGTCGCGCGCACCAGTGCGGCACGATCCAGCTGGACTTCCAGCTGCCGCTTCGCTTCGACCTGCAGTACCGTGCGCACGGTGACGCGGCCGGCGAAGCGGCCGCCGACGCGAACGCGAAAGCGCCGGACGCGGCTGAGGTGGCGAAAGCGCCGAACGCGGAGGCGACGGCGGCAACTGCGGAGGCGGCAACTGCGAAGGCGGCGGCTGCGAAGGCGCTTGACGTGAGCGCACCGAGCGCGGTCGCAAAACCGAGGTCAGCGACCGCGAAGGCATCGGCCGCGCCCGCGCGCGCGGAAGGCAGTCTCGAGCAGCCGCTGAAGCCGGGGCACGAGCGCCCGGTGATGATCCACCGTGCGATACTCGGGAGCGTCGAGCGGCTCTCGGCGATTTTGCTCGAGCACTACGCGGGCGCGCTGCCCTTCTGGCTGAGTCCTCGGCAGGCGCTCGTCTGCCCGATCTCGCAGAAACAGGCCGCTTACGCGCGCTACGTCGCGGAGCTGCTGCAGGCACGCGGCTACGACGCGAGGTGCGACACGAGCAACCTGACAATCAACAAGAAAGTGCGCAACGGCGGCGTGGAGAAGTACAACTACATTTTGATTGTCGGCGCTCAGGAGCTCGCCGCGCGCAGCGTGACGTTGCGCAAGCGCGGCGAGGAGGCTCGCCAGGAAGTGCTTTCGCTGCCAGAGCTGCTCGCGCGCTTTTCGCGCGAGTGTGCCGTGCACAGTTTCGACGCCACGGAAATTCCGGAGTTTCGCGAGTAGCGGCGATTTTCAATTAGAAAATCGCTAAATTCTGCACACAGGAACGATGCTTCGCCTGCTTACCGCGCTAAGCGCCGCGGCTGCGGCGAGCGCGACGCCCGAGGCGCCCGCGTTTTCGCGTCCGTACTTCTACGTGACTCCGGGCACGAGCCGTTGCTTCCTCGAGAATGTGCCCGCGAACTTGCCGATGACGATTGGCTACCAAGCGGTGGAGCCGACGCAACTGCAATGCAGTCTGCAGGTCACGGACGACTCGGGCGCGACGGTGCTGAACAAGCGCTGCACCGCGAGTGGAGAGTTTGAGCGCGAGACTCTCATCACGCAGCACGAGGGGCAGCACACGATCTGCATCCGCTGCTCGACGGCGCTGTGGACCGGCAAGGAGCACGGAAAGTGGCACCTGAGCGTGGACCTCGGCGACGGCGACATGAACAAAGAAGATGCCGTGAGCAGTTTCGGTTTCATCTCGCGCGAGCGCGCGGTGCGCGCGCTGACCGAGAAAGTGAACTTGCTGATTAAGAAGCAGTTTTACAACCAGGAGAACCACAAGACGATGAGTCGGCACACGAATGCGCTCGCGCAGAAAGTGAAGCTGCTCTCGCTGCTGCAGCTGCTCTTTTTCGGGCTCTCGACGTTCGTGGCGACCAGCAACATGCAGAGCTTCTTCCGCAAAGAGAATTTCGTCTCGTGATTTTCGCCGATTAAATAATTTCGATGAGTGAGCGCGCAATGCAGGTTGTGCCGAGCGAGGCAGACCCGCAGCCGATTGACAGTTCGCAGTGGCCGCTGCTGCTGCGGAACTACGGCGCGCTGAACGTGCGCACCGGCCACTACACGCCGCTGCCCTGCGGCTGCTCGCCGCTGAGCCGGCAGCTGCGCGAGTACCTAGCTAGCGGCGTGATCAACTTGGACAAGCCCGCGAACCCGAGCTCGCACGAAGTGGTCTCGTGGGTGAAGCGGATTCTCGGCGTCGAGAAGACCGGGCACGCCGGCACGCTCGACCCGAAGGTCACCGGCTGTCTGCTAGTCTGCCTCGAGAAAGCGACGCGGCTCGTGAAGTCGCAGCAGGGCGTCGGCAAAGAGTACGTCGGCGTCATCAAGTTCCACGCGCCGCCCGCCTCGCGCGAAGCCGTGCGCGCCGCGTTCGCGCAGCTCACCGGCGCGCTCTTCCAGCGGCCGCCGATCCTGAGCGCTGTCAAGCGGCAGCTGCGCATCCGTCACGTCTACGAGTCGAAAGTGCTTGACTTCGATGACGAGAACCAGCTCGCCGCCTTCTGGGTCAGTTGCGAAGCGGGCACCTACATCCGCACGCTCTGCGTGCACATCGGGCTGCTGCTCGGCTGCGGCGCGCACATGCACGAGCTGCGGCGTGTGCGCTCGGGCAAGTTTACCGAGTACGACAACTGCGTGACAATGCACGACGTGCTCGACGCAATGTACTTGTACAAGACGCTAAAGGACGAGCGCTACTTGCGCAAGGTCGTGATGCCCTGCGAGGTGCTGCTCGTCGGGCTGCCGCGCATCGTCGTGAAGGACAGCGCGGTCAATGCTATCACCTACGGCGCAAAGCTCATGATCCCCGGCGTGCTGCGCTTCGAAAACGGCATCGAGGTGAACGCAGACGTAGTACTGATGACCACCAAGGGCGAGGCGATTGCGCTTGGCGTCGCGCAGATGACTACCGCGACGATCGCGAGCGTAGATCACGGCGTCGTCGCCTCGATCAAGCGCAACTTGATGGACCGCGACGTTTACACGAACCGCTGGGGTTTTGGGCAACGCAGCGCGCTCAAGAAAGACCTCATCCAGAAGGGTCTGCTCGACAGCAAGGGCCGCGTCACCGACAAGACGCCGCTCTCGTGGATTAACTACGAGGGCGAGCTGCCGCAGCTCGCAAACTCGCCCGCGTCCGCGCCCGCGCAGGCTGCCGCAAAGCGGGAGGTCGCGGTGAAGACCGACGCGAACGAAGTGCAATGCAAGAAGGAAGTCGTCGAGGAGCGCCGCGCTCCGGAAGTGACGGACGCTGAGCGTGACTCCGCACCCGACGCAGAGCGCGCAGCGAAGAAGGCCAAGCGGCGCAAGTGCGGCAAGTAGCGCGCCACAGAAAACTAAAAAACGCACTTATGCGCATGACGGCGCGCCGCGGAAAACTCACACGGCGCGTCTTGCGCGTTAGCAATAGCCGATAGGGCCCGGCCGCGCCAATAGCGCCACGCAGCCGACAAACGTGCGACAGGGCCGCTGCCGTTCTCCCAAGCGTTTTCGCCCAGAGTGTTTAGTTCCGAGCAGTTACCAATTCCGCTTGCAGCTCGCCCGCCGACTCAGTGCACTTTTTCAGTTCCTCCGTTAAGTCAAACGGCGCGTGGGCCTGGTACGCTTCGAAAAATGCCCTCTTGGAAAACAGCGACTCAAAGTCCGCACGAATGCGCGAAACCGTGCAGCCAAACGACGTGTGGTTGGACAACGCCAAATGCAACTTTTCTGCTGCAGTCGTCGCTGACGCAGGTCCCGAACTGATCACGAAGTCTACGTCTGCCACGCTCCAGTCGCTGAAGTTGAAGCGGTGCCGCTTGCGCAACTCCTCTATGCTCGCGAGCATTGTGGCTTCCGGTCGCGACCCGTGGTACAGGTACGAAAGCGCGAAGTAGCAGTGCGACTCTTCCGCCATGTGACACAAGTAGTTTTGCGCACTGAAAGTCTGCTTCAGCAGCTCCGGCAAGCTGAGTCGCGCCGCGCCGTTGACTGCCCTGCCGCGCGTCGCGCGGCCGCCAAAGTCTGCGCTGACCACTGAGTCGTGCAAAAAATGCAGCTTCGGCAGAGGCACGAGCGAGCTGAGCACTGAAGCTAGCGACGAGTTCGCGAACGACGGAAACAGCAGCGGCGCCAACAGTGCCGTGACCGCGTCGGCGATTATGCTGTTCTGCGTCGACACGCTAGGCTGTGCGAGCTGGTACGTGTCTGTGCAAATCGCATCCAGCCGCGCATTCTGGATCGGATGCACCGCGTCCGCGCAGTGCGTCAAGCGATCGAACGTGAGCATCGCGTTGTACGGCTGCACGACCACGCTGCTGCTAGCGTCGCAATCCGGAAGCACGCTGTACGTTTGCAAAATCTTCTTGGGGAACGCGTCGCGCAGAAACTCGAGCAGCGCGGAACCAAGCCCGCTGCCGGTGCCTCCGTTGATGGAGTGCAGCAAGTTTACCGCCTCCGCGCAGTCGGCCTTCTCGAGCTCCGCACGCACCTTCTCTTGGATGACGTCCGCGTACAGACGGCCCTGCGCGTAGCCGTTGGTCCACAAATTTCCTGCGCCGCCGCCGTCCGAGCCGACCCACGCGTTTTTCGTGCTGTGCAGCGCGCCTTGCGGGCCGTGCAAAATCGAGTTCACGATACGCGGTTCCAAGTCCAACAGCACCGAGCGCGCGACGAAGCGGCCCTCTTCAACTTCGTTGAAGCACACGTCGTAACGAACATTTCGCCCGAATTGCGAACCTTCCGTCGTCAGCTCCGGCGCGCAGCCTGCCATGTTTATGCCGAGCATCTCAGCGAGCCGGAGCCAGAAGTCATGCGCAAGTTGGTTTCCGCACTGCCCCACCGAAAGTGTGATAACCTCGCGGGTCATCTAGATCGGCGGGAGCTAAAATTTTATTATATTTTGTTTTTTCCCTCCGCTGGACTCGCGACGATATGCGCAGTAGAAAAGTCGTCGCTCGCTGCTCTTCATCCTACAGTGACGCAGAAGTTCAGCGTGGCAAAGATTCGATCGAGGGCCTCAACGCGCAGCAACGCCCCCCAGCAAACAACCCTACGGCGCGTCGCAGCGCCGTGGTGCCAGAGCACCGCTCGCAGCATAGCGCGGATACTGCGGTGTCTTACTCTGCTCTCAATGTGCAGTACGAGCAGCGACAGGGCAGCGGAAGCGAAGCGGAAGAGGGCGGCGCGTCGTACTCGCCGCCGTTCGACTTCGAATGTTGCGGCTTCGTCGGGCCACGCGCCGGCAAGTCGGAACGCTGCTGTGCACCGCAGGAAAACACTGCGAACCACTTGCGCTGCGCAGGCCTTTCGCAGCAGCGGCTCGGCGACACGAAGAAGCAGCTAAAGCAGCTCGAGCAGAAAATCGCCGAGCTGCAGTCCAACTGCTTTCCGTGCTCGACCGCCAGCGTGCCATGCGAGTACGAGTTGCCTCCGCGAGAGAGCTGCAGCCCTTATAGCAAGTCTGAAGTGGTTTCTGCGCGCGAATGCGACGCATTTGATCTCGCCGCTTGCACTCGCCCGCCACACCGATCTGCGCGCGCAACCGACGCGCCGCAGAGCGAACGCCCGTTTCTCAAACCTGTTGAAATCAAAGATTTTAGCCCCAAGCACTCCACGCTGCGTTCCAACAGTTTCTCTGAAGTCATGCGCTCGCCGCCTAATTTTTTCAAGAACCGCGAAGAATACAGCGGCTCGACGTCCGAGCGCGTCAGTAACTTCGGCGCGAAGCGCAAAAGTTCTGTCCGCAACCAGCAAGCCGAGCCGCTTTCCTTCTCTAAAGGGGTAGATCTTCGCGAAGCGCGCGAGCTATTGAAAACGTTGCTGTCTCCGGAAGAACTGAGGAATGCGGTAAGGGTCCCGGAGCTGCAGCCCGAGAGCGACTCAATCGATCAGCCGCAGTACTTGCGCGGCGAGTCCGCTACCAAAGTGTGCGACTGCAACGCCGCGGTTCGTGAAGACTTGTTGTATAGTCGCATTGAGACGCTCGAACATCTTCTTAACCAAAGCTTAGAAGAGATTGGCTTTTTGCACCAAGCGAACGAAAACTTGCAATCGCGCTTCAAACTGTGCGCTAACCGGTTGGAAGAGCTTTCAGACCAGGTGGAAAATCACAACGAGCTGCAGGAGGTAGTGTGCAACATGATCGTCGCGTTGAAGAACGTCGACGCGAAGGTAGGCGGCGGCTGCGATTTGTCCTCCGCCATGGCGCAAATCCATGCGGACTTTGCGCGGCAGCACAAGAAAATCGACAGCATGCAGGCGGCGATGAGCAAGATGGTGATGAACCAAAAGGAAGTGATTCGGCGGATTTGCGACGAACTGTTTCAGTTGAAAAACAACTCAATGTTGCGGGAGGCACACGCTTCGAACTAATCGCCAGCTTGATCTTTGTGCCCTTGAGCCCACCCGTAGCGCTAGAAGCCGCAATAAGTGCGTCAGGCAACCGCAATGTTTGCACTGCTCCGCCGATTGTGGGTTTAGATAGATCAATCGTGATAGCATAGAAGCTGCAAATGCAGTCTACAGCAGCCGTCCCAATACCTTGACTCCGCAAAGCGCGCCGTTGGGAGTCAGACAAACGAAAACGTGAGTAAGCGTCGCGGGGCGGAACGCTAGCTGGTACTCTTCGTCAGACACGAGTTCTTTCCATGAGATGGAGCCGAGGTGAACTAACGCAGCGTTGCTGATGTAGCGTTCGAAGTACTCGCGTTGCTGCGGTATCGTCAAAGTAGCCAAGTCGGGAATGTCGGCTGCCAGTAAGTCTATCGAGTGCGGCAAGTCGCCCGCGACGCCCCAGGTGCTGACCTGCACTTTTGAAATCACGCAGCGTGCAGCCAGCTTTATGATTGCGTAGTCGCAATTCTTAAAAGAAAAGTCAGGACTTTGGCAAGACTTAACGTCGAACGTTGCAGCTTTTTCGCTCCACGGCGTAATCCAGCAAAAGCGTCTGCAAAGATTCGCGTCGCCGCTTCCTCCGAACGGGTACGGAGAGAGCAAGAAATTTGCCGAGCTCTCTGCAGCGTTTGCGTAAATCACCCATCCGCCGCGCGTGACGTCGGCGAAATCGAACTGCAGATTAGGATCTTGTGTTTGCTGCATTTTCCATATCAGCTGACACCCGTCGAGCGTTTCTCCGTAAACGATTACTTTGCTCAGCTCGCCGCAAGGCTGCAGGTCGAGGCGCAGCAAGTCGAATTTGTAGTCCGGTAGGTCCTGCGGCAACTCTACGCTGTGGAACGACTCCGTATCTGCTTCAAGTTTGAAGCTGGGCAAAATAGTTTTCCATTGATAGGAGGATGCGAACTCTTCGTTTATTTTGCACTCGCGCTGGTGCTCGATTTCTGGTGATCGAGGATCGTCTGTGAACGAGAGCGAACATCGACGAGCTGGATCGCCCTCCACGCAGTGCATAATCGCACGCGCGTCGCGACAGATTTGCCGCGCCGCGCTGATCGAGAGAGAAGCCGATGCCTGTATACAGTTTTTTGTAGATATTGCTAGCCCTCTGATGTAAACGGGAGCGGCTAGCTTGAACACGGCAAATTCAGATCCCGAACAGTGCCGTCTGCGTGTTTTCCAAGAACCTTTGCTGCTCATTAAGTTTGCGGCGTCATATGCTGCGTTGTGTCTGCTCGAAGCGTAGACCAGCTCGGCGCCCAATGCGGCGCTGAGCCAGTTCGGTAATCGCGCAATTTTCCGCATAGTGGACGCAGGTTCATTTTCGAGCGCTGCTTCGCTCGTATGCGATTTTTCAAACTTTTGTTTCTTGGCGAGCTGCTCGTCTGAGCCATTGTGCATGCCCAAACTAAACAGACTGCGCAGACCGTTCTGCGTTGCAGTGAGCGCCAACATACTTTAACGGAGCTTAAAGGACCGCTGACGCTGTTTCCTTCAGCTGTCGCGCCCACATCCGCCATGGGAGCGTCCGCGAACTCCTCAGTTCGAGCACAAAGGGTTGGAGAGTTTGCTAATCCGAGCAGTTGCGATCCGTGAGGATTAATTACTTAATTGCGAATTTGTTTAATTGATCAACCTGTTCCCGGATTCGGTGCAGCGCCGACTGAAATCGGTGCGACACCCCTAACGCAGCGCTTTCGTACGGTTGCGAACAGCATCGTTTTCTCCAGGACTCAAAGCTTGAGAGTGTGGACTCGGCATACTGCGACTGGTGAGGAGTATCATGTGTGTCATGGATGCGTGCATTGCCTTCCGCTGAGCGCGTCCGCCGTTCTGTGTATTCTGAAAGCTGTTCAGCGAGCTGTTCAACGAGCTTTTCAGCCTGTTCCATTGCACTGCGCAGTTGTTTGTTTTTGGCTCGCAGTCGTTCAGCGTATCGTGCGCGAGGACCTGATGCAAACTTCGCTTCAAGTAGTTGGTTGAGTTGCGGCAGCGCGGTGTCGTTGCAGATTACCATTTTTTCTGCGTAAAACTCGTACAGCTGCCGGACCAAGTCGTTTGCCGCAGTGGCGTGCGGCGGCATAACTTTGACGGGCAGATTGTAGTAAGCAGCCGCAACGCTCAAGCAAAGCGCGAGCACTGCGGTGTCGGTGTTAGAGCCATCAGGATCAATTGTTATACACCCAACCATATAAAATTTTACGGAAAACTGCGCTGCGAAAGGCATGATCAGCTCATCGGCCGCGAGGCTTTTTTCTGCTGGAATATTGACTAATTCGCATCTGATTTTCCGGCGGAAGGTGGGTGCAGTTCAGTAACCTAGTGCCAAAGCAATGACATGAGAAAGCAATCGGCAGGCCGAAGAGACTCGACTATCATTCTTTCTTCCAGCACTCGCAACTACGCCCAAAAAGTCTATAGAGCGTCTATTTACTCTGCGCAGTCTAGCGAGAACAAAGTTGCGGATGAAACTGAGCTACAAGTCGTACGCAGGAGCAGCTGCCTGGAATGGATGAAGCGGAAGTTTGGCGAACTTAGCGCCGCACGCATTGAGGACCACCGTTACGGCATTTTGGTGATGGTCACGTATTTATGCACAACGCCGTTTCTCTATTTCAACGCCCCACAGGTGGCGTTTGGCGACGCTCTTGTTTACTTCTGCATGTGCTCGGTCTCAGGGTTGGACATGAACATGGGCAAGACGTACAATCGCCTGCTCGAGAACTGTTACGCGACTTTTCTCGCGGGTTTTACGAGCTTGCTTTTCAGCGTGCCAATCTATTTTAGCCCGCTCGGCGACCGCAATGCGCATCCGGAGACGCAGTGGATTTTGTACGCTTACTCCGCTTTCCAGTGTTTGTTTTTCTGGAACTTTCTGCAGTTCTACTACCCTACACGCAAGACGTTTGTAATCGGTTGCGCGAACATTACTAGTTTCATTATGTACCCCAGTATGAACCACAGCAACTGGCTGATCGTGCAGCTCATTTCTCTCGCAGGCCGTCTGGGTGGCTACTTGTTCGCGTTCATTCTGTCGAACCTACTTTTCCGGCTGCACGCGCAAGACCTCGCGCCGCGGCTCGCCGCGAACTGCATGCTGAAGATATCGGAGTTTTTTCAGCCGCTCGTCTCATTAGAAACGGGCATTATTAAGGACTTAACATTCAGTGAGTTGCGCCCACGGCGGCTGAACAGTTTGCGGCGCAGCTTCGTGGCGATGGACGACAAGAGCGCTTACGTCGATTTCGCAAACTATAAAGCAGTCACTGAGCGGTTGTGGAACGCGATCGACGACGTCTACCTCAAGCTGAGCAGCGCGCCGGAGTTGGCGAAAACTGCGTCCCGAGAGATGCGTTGTTTCAGCGGCAGCGTGTTCAACTCTGAATATTACCTGTACATGGTGGACGCGATTACCGTGCTCTTCTACTATATCACAAGTCTGTACTTAGTGCTAAACGCGCAAGACATCGCGATCGGGCTGGACTCCAACGACGTCATCAGCAACGCGGTGGATCCTTCGTGGATGATGTACAACCGCTTGGCGGTGAACGGCACGTTGGTGCAGATCTTGGCGCCAAAGTCGTCGCTCTCGAAGTACCACACTGAGCCGTCTTCGAAGATTCAGGCAAAGTTGCACTTGGCTGGCGCGTGGGAAGACATGGGCAACGTTTCCTCGCACGGTACCCTTCAGCCGCCGAAAGAGATGTTCGGGTTGAACAGCTCAGATTCCGCGTTCGACTCGTCGCCGGAAGACTCTCCTGACATCGTGCGTTCTTACTCGTCGAGCCTTAAGGGCATGACGGCTTCGCGCTCCGGCTTCATCAACCGTAAGATGACCAGCCAGGACATTGTCAAGGCGATTCGCTCGCCCGCAAACTTGAGCATCGTTGATGATGTGTCCGGAGAAGTGCGCAACGTGTCGCCCGAAGTCATTTACCGTCCGTTTATGGTGTGGGCCGAAGTGGTGGGGCCAGTGATCTCGAGCCTCGCGAACCGCATTTCGCGCGTGTTCGCAGGAATGTCACGTGCCATTGTCGAGCAGCAAATGCAGCTCGATTTTTTGCAAGACATGGGTCGCGCGGAGGACCACTTGTTCGAGCTGATTCGCAACCAGATCGAGTGTCAAAACACGATGCAGAACTTGTTGCACGGCTTTATGCTCGCCTCTGCGGAAGCTACCAAACGCAGGCGCGCGGAGCGCGTAAAGTTGATTAACGCACTTTCCAGTGCAGTGGAGCAGTGCAATTCGACCGGCGACATGTCGCAGTTTTCGTACTCCGACTACTACAAAACTTATAGCAAAGAATTCGATGATTTGTTGCGGCGGTACGGCAGCAACGGCGCGGATACCGCATCTTCGCGGCTTTTGAGCCAGCAAAAGCCATGCGAATCTGACTCGGCTGCTGCGCCAGTGGGTTTCGCCGGTAGTGGCGCCACCCCGGCGGTCGCGGCGACAGACGGCTCTTCAAACGGGTCTGGCTCTTTGCATGAGCAGTCGTCCTCGCTTGACGACGCCAAAGTGTATGACCTGCGCGGCGCCCGGGAATTCAGCGCAGACTTTGACGGTGCGCCGCGCGCGCTCGCTGCTGAGTTCAGCGACGCAAAACCGAGCGACACGTTTTTCGACCTTGAGGAGTTTGAGAAAAAATTTATGAAGTATTGGATGCGCACCAGCATCGAGGAGTACAAGCAACTGTCGCTTGAGTCGCGTGAACTGCTCTGGCAGTGCTTCACGAACGTGCACGACAAGTTGAACCGCACGATTAGCATCGTGCTCTCCATTCTCATTCAGATAAAGTTTACGGTGGACACGATCATAGCGATGCGCTTAAAGGGCAACCACCGGCACCAAGATGTCTTTTTAGACATTTGCAAAAAACTGGACGCAGACCCCACGAGTTTTCCGCGCACGTATAAGTTGCTGCAAGAGTTGAAGATCTCGGAGATGTAAGTCTCACGGGCGTAAAAATGACGAAACGCCTGCCCTTAGATGCTAGTACTGCGTCGGTTGCTGAGACTGCAACACAACGTACGACTGCGGTGCGGGCTCGTACGTCTGCGAAGGCGCTTGCTGCGCGTACGCATAGCCGGCGGCGGGATCGTATGCGAACTGTTGCGCGGCGTACGGCTGCTGCGAGCCGTAGGGCTGCAGTGGAAGTTGCGATGCGTGTTGCGGCTGCGGTTGCGAATATGTTTGCGTTTGCGGGTCGTAGAAGCTGACGCTTTTTGCGGCGGCACCTTGCGCGACGGGCTGCGCAGGCCCGTCGCGCTTGTCGCTCGCGTCTTCGCGGTTTCGATTATCTGCGTTCTTCAGCGTCTGCAACGCCATTTCGACTTTCTTGTTGTGTTTGCGCAGTCGCAGCAGTTTGCCCTGCTCGCGCAGCGAGTCGATCCGTTCCACGCGTTCCTTTTCCGATCTGATATGATGCGATATTCCCGCGGTCAAAAATACGATTCCGAGCACGATGATGACGCAGACGAGAACGATGATGGTGATTGTCGATCGGCTGTACGCTTGCGTAACGTCGCTGATGAAGCTCATGCTGAATTCTGCGCGCTCCCCTCTAAATGTGTATAAGAGAAAATAATATTCAGAGCAGGGTTAATCCTAACAAATTGCGGCTAGGCCGTAATTTCCCTCTTCATTTTTTTGAGCTGAGCCTTCTTCAAGCGCGACATCTTCTGTTCGTGCAGCGCGCGCTCCTTGTTCAGCTGGTTCTTCTGTTGCCAGATGGCTTCCATCAAAACCTTTTTATTTTTGAACTGATTGCCCTTGGCCTTCAGGTAGAAGGAGTGGTAGATGTGTGAGTCGATGCTCCCGCTAGCGCGCAGCTTGCGGAGCACGCGACGTAGCGCGCGCTGGCGGTGCAGCCATACCCGTTTCTCCGGGCAACGCGCGTTTTTCGAACCGCGACGCTTGCCGAGCCCCATGTGGCGGCCTTTGCGGCGCGCTTCCGCGAAGATGCGCGCGCGCGCGCGTGAGTGGCATTTTACGGCCTTCTTGATGATGACGCGCTTTTCGATCAGTCGGCGAACCGCAGATCGCGTCGACGCCTTCTGCAGCGCGGCGGTGCACTCGGGGTTCAGCGAAACGCGGTGTCGGCCGCAGCTCAGAACGTCTGCAGCCAGCCGCTTGACAATGCCGAGGTGAGGAGCCATAGCGAAATATTTAATATAAATTATCGAGCCAGAACGGCTCGTTTCGCGTTAGCTTGCCGCGTCCAGCAGCCCGCTGTTTTGCAAATCGCAGAACGTCTGCAGTGTCATCACGTTCCCCACGGCGTCTTCGACTTCCATTTCGTGCTGCGAGTCGAACGACAGCTCGCGCCGTGTTTTTGCGATGTGCTTCTGCAGCTGCAGAGCGTCGGCAATCTTTGTTATGTTATTGAATTCTTTCGCGGCCGTGATGCCGAGGCTCGATAAGCCGTGTGCGTGTCGCCAGCCGTTGAAGTGCGAGGCGAATACCGCGGAGCCATAATACGTGTGGTCTCCGCAAATTTCGCACTTGAAGCCTTTGTTGAGCCCGTGCAGTTTGAACAGCCAAGCGGGGATCGGCTCGCCGTCTGGCCCCAGCGGCGCCTTTTGCTTTCGCTTCTCGACGAAGTCGACCATGTCTTGCGTGTCTTTCAACACGCCCACGTCTTCCTCGACGTCCAAGTCTGCTTCGGGGCAGGCCCAGCTGCCGTCGCCAGCCGCCGTCTGCTGCGCGATGTGCTGCTTGAGTGCGAATTCAAGGTTGAGCTTCAGCACATCCGCTAGCCGCATCAACTCGTACTCCGCTGCGCACTGCGCTTTGTACACGGCTTCCGCGCCCGCTAGTCGCACCTGGCGCTCGGCTTCGCTGAGTTTAGCGAACTTCGCGAGTCGCCGCGTGCCGGTCTCGCTGCCGCGCAGCTGCTCGCGGTGCGCTTCGTCGCGGCAGACAACGTCTAATGCGCTGTCATAGAGCTCAACCGCCGCGAGCGGCGTAATGCAGAACTTCAGAAGGTTCTTTACGTACAGCGTCTCGAAGTCGCGTAGCCACTCGGCCCGCAACGCAGCGAAGTCTAAAAATGGGTGCAGCCGTTCGTATGTGCTGGCGAGCGCGGCGTTCAGGTTCTGCAGCAAATTCTGGTAGACGCGCGAGCGGAATTTGAGGTGCGGCGGGCAGCGCGAAACCAGTCGCGCGTCGACGACGAGTTTCAAAAATTCGTAGTAACTGACGTACAGGCACTTGGCAGCGGTCGGGCCAGGCTGGTCGCTGGGTTGGCCGCTGGGCTGGTCGCTGGACTGGTCGCTGGACTGTTCGCCCGCAACGTGCTCGCGGAACTTGTGCCACTGCAGCAAAACTTCGTGCGCAGCGCGCAGGTCCACGCCGTAACACAGCGCTTCGGACGCGGTAAACAGCGAGGAGAGGTCGCGCGGGACCTCCGCTTCCGCGGCACGCGCTTCGGCCTCCGCATGTGGCGCTGAGGCGAGCGGAGCGCTGTCGAGCACGCCCTCGCGCAGTTGCGCGAGCTCGCTCTTGAAGCGCAGCAGCATCGCGCTGGCGAAGCGCGTGCAGCGCTCTGGGTCGTCGGCGTCTGTCGGCGGCGCTGGCAGCGGAGGCAGCTCGCCCGCGCGCGCCGCAGAGAGTTTCGCAGCGCGCGACGCCTTTGCGGACGCAGCAGTCAAGAACGCCTCTTCGTCGAGCGGCGGCGGTGCGTAGCGACACGCAGCGATCTCGCGCAGTCGCTCCATGAGCGCGCCAGCGCGCTCGCGGTTTTTAAGCAACAGATGCTTGGCGAGGTGCGACCACCAAATACGCTGCTTGCGAGACACATTGCAAACTTCGTCAAGTTTGCTGAAAGCGGAAAGACATGCGGCCTCGCGAGCTTGGCACGCCGCGATCTCTTCGAAAAGACCTTCAACACTAGCCAGCGGCTCCATTTGCGAGCAGCATATTTATCAATATTGAATCTAAAAAAGGCCGACTGGACGCTCAGCGGTTCGCTACGAAGGAACTTCGGCGGACGCGGCGCTTTCCGTGCCCAGCTTCTTCGCTTTGCGAGCGAGACGAGCCAACTGTTCCTTTTCTTTTTGCTCCCGCGCTTTGAGCTTTTGGTAGAGGGCGCGTTTGCGTCCCGAGAGCATCAGCGCGGCACGGCGCTCCTCCTCGTTATCTGATGCAACCGCCGTGTCCGCTGTGGAGTCGCCGGCCACAGCCGTCTGGACGGCGGCGTAGTCGACTGGGTCGAACGGCGAGAGATGCGGCTTCAGCGTTCTGCCTGGTTCGTAGCTCAGCGTCGGCTCGAGCGCCTTGGCGTTGATGCTGTCGAAGATCCACTGCGGCTGTACGAAGTCGCGCGAGTCGCACAGCGCGCCCAGTTTGCTCTTGAGCCGTTTCAGCGGTTCGCCGTCGAGATCGGTGATCTGCACAGTGATTTTGTCTGAGTCGACGTCGAGCACGTCGACCTGCGCCGACGGGGAGTTGCGCGGACAGTCGAACGCGACGGCGTCTGCACCGCAGACCTTTAAAGCGAAGAACAGGTACTGCGTAACCGCGTTCTCCGCGCCGATGTAGAAAACATGGCCGTGGAACACGTTTGCAGCCGCGCGCGACTGCTCGTCAAAGAGTTCGTGCACGTTGCCGTCCACGTCGCGAATTGCTTCGCGCGTCACTGCATCCTTGATGCTAACGTCGAGGAAGGAAAGCGGCGTTTTGGCGTCCAAAAAGCGCGGCTCGAACTCGAAGCCCGCGAGTTTGAACAGCTTGTAGAGCCCGTTTCGCAAGAGCTGCGTGTACAACAGCAAGTAGGTGCCCATCGCTTTAAAGTCGACCTCGACGGCTTTGTGCACCGGCAGGTTGTACGGCTGGAGCCAGACGATGTCCGTTCCGAGCAGCCGCGCACGAAAGTAGAGGCCCTTGATCGACGCGAACACCGCGTTCACGCACTTCGACTTCAGGCAGAAGGCGTACCACAGATTCAGCAGCAACCGGCTGTCGGCGAGCAGGTCGGCGGTGATGTCGTCCTCGGGTTGCGGCGTGAAGTAAGTGAAAAGCGCGATGCAGCTCAACGCGTCGTCGAAGTCGGCGAGCGCGGCGGCGAAGTTTGGGTAGCGCGAGCGCAAACATTCGGCGAGATCGAGCGGCGCTTTGCTGTCCATCAAGGTGCGCGCCTTCAGCTCGTCATCATGGAAGTATGCGGAGCGCGCGCGCGCCTCGAGCAGCCGGTTACGACGGAAAGTCTCGCAGATGGCGTCGCGCCGGATGTGCCGAATCTCTTTGGCACTGTAGTAGACTTTGTCGGTGCCTTGGAATTTGCGCTTGGGCACGCGCGGGTAGATACCCTTCAAAATGCAGATGCGGCGAAACTCTGCGAGAGACATGCCGAGCTTGCGCAGCGCGGCGGCGCGCGTCACGTAGAGCGCCGCCTCGCCCTTGTGGACGCGCTTCAATTTTTTCTGCATTGAATTCTCGCGAAATTTCGGCAAATTATCCTCAAAATACGCAACGCGCGCGCGTTGCGGCCGCGAGCGCGCGCCGCGCCGCCGGGTGCGCAGCGTGGCTCATCGCTGCCTTCGGCCTATTTTTGAAACAACGTTCGATGTTGCAAATTCAGAATTAGCTAAATTATAATCTGGGCGGCGATCGTTTTTGATGTATGGCTCCGTTCACGGAAAGGGGACAGCGCAGCGGCGCGACGCTAGTTGTGGGTTCGCTGGGTACTGCAACTGCCCCTGTCGGTGCCATCAGCGCTTTTGCCAACACGCGTTGTTCGCGCCTTACGGCGTGCAGCCTTCGCCCGGCGCTGAACCGAGCTGCAATGCGGTGAACGGCGCGCCGTTTACGAACTGCTGTTCAGGTGCTTCGGCGGAAACGTGCGCTTCTCTCTCGGACCTGTACCCCGCGGCGCAGGCCCCCTGCGTGGGCGCCGAGCTTCCGAGTGAGCGGGTCGGCGCGGTAGCCGCTAGCTTGGAGTCGTTCTTGCGCTCAGAGGTCACGAAGGCGAAGACTTCGCTGCTGCGGCAGGAGGAGTTTGTAGAGTTCAACGTTTTGCGCATTCTGCAGAGGTACCTGGAGAGTTGTTTGCTGAACAGCGATTGCTCGCACTGTGTGAGCGCAGACTTCGTGAAGCGCAGTTCGGTGTACTGCGGCAAAAAGCCGGCGGTTGTTGTGATCCGCTCGCGGCCGAACGTCACGTACGTGCACCTGTTCGTTGACAACGACGTCTCGCTAAATTACTGTTGGGCGTTCGACGCGCAGCGCTTCGAGCAGCTGAAGGCGACGCACGAGCTGAAGCTGCGCTTTGCGGAGTTTCCTGAGTACTTGTCGCAGCTGCTGCGCTACTGCGCGGCGGAGCCGGACGCGGAGAGTGTGCTTTCTGAGAATCGGTACTCGCTGCGCGTAGTGTTCGAGACGGACGCGTCCGCGAAACTGGTTATCTCGGAGACGCGCAACAAGCGCTCGATGAGTTTCCTGACGATCAATAGTGACGCGTGTCTGCGGCTGCCGTTAGAGCTGAACTTCGCGTTGTTTGCGCAGGTGCTCGTTTTTCTGGAGCAAGACTTGTTGCTGTTCGCGCGGGACTCGCTGCTCGACCAGCGCGCAGAGGTGGACGCGCTCCTCGCGGAGATTGAGAACTTGAAGTCGCAGCTTGCGAAGTTGCGCGTTGCGGAGAGTGACAACTTGGAAATTATCCGCAAGTACTCGGACCAAGTCAGTGCGCTGCACAGCGACGCGACGGCGCTGGAGCGGCAGAGAGGCGAGTTGAACGCGCGCGTTGCGGCGGCTGAGGCTGAGGCTGCGAGCGAGGCACGCGCTGCGGCCGCGCTGCGCGAGCAGCTAGCCGCGGCGAAGACGGAAAGCGAGGCAAGTGCAAAGCAGGCCGCAAAGCTCGCGAGCGAGTGCGCTGCGCTGCAGACGCAAACAGAGCTGCTGAAGTCGCAGCTGCAGTTTTACGACAGCAAGTCGAACAACTTGAAGGAAGTGATTGAGGAAGTGGACGCGCTGAAGGCGCGCCTGGAGGCAAGTGGTTCGGCTAATGAAGAGCTGAAACGCGCACTGGGTGAGAAAGAGGCGCTGCTCGCGAAGCTCAAGAGTGAGCAGCAATCGTACTTGGCGAAGCTGCTCGCGATCAACGACGAGCGCAAGGAATTCGCGTCGGCGAAGGACGAACTTGCGGAGCTGCGCCGCGAACGCGAGGCGGCGCGCGCTGAGCTCGGCGAGGCGCGGCAGCGCGTTGCGACGCTGGAGGTGCTGCTAGCCGAGACGCAGCAGAATGTTGAGGCGCAGAAGCAAGAGATGCGTGCGATGAACTTGCATTTCGCGAAGCGGCTCTGCGAGTTCCGCAAGCAGGCGGGGTTCGACGTCGGCGCGCGGCTGGACGTGCCGAGCTTCGCGGAACTCGCAACGCACGACCCGCTCTCATCGCGCAGCTTTGAAGGGGGCTTCGAGCGCGAGTGGAGCGGCGACGGTGAGAGCGAGCAGCGCTCGAACGTGTCGCGGTTCGACCGTTTGGCGCGCGCGGTCGAGAAAGACGCGGCAGCGCTGCTGCCGACGGGACGGCAAGGGCTCGCGGCGCTGCGGCGCGAGCGCGAAAAACAGCGCGCGTTGGCGCGGCCGCCGGGCGCTGAGAGCGAGCCGTTCGAGTTCGGCGACAGCCAGAACTCGTTGCACTTTGACCTTGAATGTTTGAGCGACGACTCGCTCAGCAGCTCAGCGAGCGCGCGCGGTGAAGTGCCGCCGAAGACGCCGGACGAGTCGGACCGCGAGCTGATGCAGAAATTCAAAGAACTGGGACAGTTGACGGCCGCGCGCACGCGTGCGCGCAGCGGCTACTTGCTGCGCGAGGATCTCGGCGCGTAGCGCCCGGGCGAGCGGCGCGGCGCAAATAGCTCGAAATTGCAATTTACCGCTTTTTTAAAATACGCAGATGAAGTTGCAGTGCAGATTACTGGGCAGGCCGGCGATAGTGCTCGACGTCGCAGAGACGAGCTCGATCAAGGAGCTGAAGACACAGTTTGCGGCGGCGGCAGAGCTGCCGGAAGACGGTTTCCGGCTGGTGTATTCGGGTACGTTGGATCGTGTGCGACGCAGGGCGCATTTGCAGCGACGACAAAACTATTGAAGAGATCGGCGCGGAGGAAGGCTCGACGTTCCACGTAGTGCGTTGTCCGCCGCCCGCGGCAGCGCCGGCGCCGGAAGTTGCGAGTGCGAGCGCGAGCGCAGCGCCTGGAGCGGGCGCGGGCTGCGCGTCGGGCGATTGCGGTGGCGCGGCAGCGCCGAGCTTTCCGGGGTTGTCGGGCATGGGCGGACTGCCGGGCATGAACGGCTTGCCGACCCCCGAGATGCTGCAGCAGGTCTTCAACAATCCAGAGATTTTGAAGACGCTTTCTGCGATGGCGGGCAACAAAGAGTTCGTGGACCAGATCCGCAACAACTCGAGCTTCGTCTCGGCGATTGCGCAGCAGAACCCGAACCTCGTAAACACGGTGCTGCAGTCGGACATGATGAAGAACATGCTGCAGCCGGAAGTGCTGCGCGATCTCGCGAGCACGCTGGGGGCCGCGGACGGCGCGGGGCTTTCGCCAGAAGCGTTCGAAGCGAGTTTGGCGAGCATGCAGAACGAGCTCAAGAACGCGCCGAACCTCAAAAACTTTTTGGACTCCGTCGGGCAGCGCGCCGAGGCCGCCGCGTCGCCGGAGACGCGCTTCGAGCTGGAGCTGCTGCAGCTAAATGAAATGGGCTTTCTGGACAAGGAAAAGAACCTGGCGGCCTTGCAGCAGGCGAAGGGAGACGTGGACACCGCGGTCAGTCTGTTGCTGGAGAACAGCGGCTAGCCTGCGCGAAACCTATTTTGAATTTTTCGATGGATTTTCATGGGCGATGCGGTGTACTCAGCGGACGTGTTGGTGTACTTCGTCGCGTACATCGGACGTCTGTTTTACAGTGACAACGCCGTCGTGATTCTGGACTACATAGCGCGCGAGCAGCGCGCGGTGAGCGAAGGGGAGTTGCTGCAGCTGCTGAACTGGAAGGAGAGCTACGCGGTGCAGGTCCTGCACTTTTTGGAGCGCCAGATGATGCTCGAGCGGATCGTCGACAGCGCGAAGGGCACGAAGATGTACTGCTCCTGGCGCATCCCTTTGTACCTGTACAAGGCGGTCGCGTGGCGACACGACACGGTGCTCGCGAAGTTGGCGGCGGAGATCGAGCAAAACAAGAACAACGAAAACTTGTTTTGCGCGCAGTGCAACCTCGAAGTCCCGTTGCTGGAAGCTGCGGGCGCAGAACTCGCGGAGGACGACGGTGCGCCGCTCTGTCGCGCTTGTCGCGGGCGGCTGCGGAACTTCGCGAGCGAGGAAAACGCGCTGAAGGCGAAGAAGAAGTACGACCGCGTGTACAAGCAGTTCGAGTGCGTGCGGCAGCTGCTCGAACGCGTCGCGAACATGACGGTGCCCGAGTTCACCGAGGAGAAGTATGAGCCGGCGCCTGGGCCCGGACAGTGGCCGCGCGAGGCTGCTGAGCAGGCTGTGCCGGCGCCGCTTGCTGCCACCGCGGAGGAGCCGTCCGCGGAGACGCCGGCGTGGTTCAGCGACATCATTGGCGCGAAGTGCGAGCGCGCGGCGACTGCTGCGCCCGCGCGGCCGGCGGAGGCCGGACAGCCAGCGCCGTCGCGGCCGCAGCCGCTGTTGAACCTCACGCAGCTGAGCTCTGCGCCAGAGGCCGCGAACGACGCGGCGCTCGCCGCGCAGAGCATTGCGGCGCGGCAGGCGGCGCACGAGCCGCTGCGCATCTCGCTGAACCTCGGGCCCTCCACGGACGGCGACTCGCAGGTCTCCACGTTTTCGAAGAAGCGGGCGAAGGGCGCGAACGCAGAACTACCGAAGCGCGCGCGGCTGATCTAGCTGCACGCGGCTGTGACGGCCTCGAGCCCTTTGAGCTGCAGCAGCGAGCAGACCAGGCTCACTTTCTGCGCCCGGAATCCATTTAGTTTTAGCTTCACCGTTTTCAGCACGTCTTGCGTGCCGTGCGCGTCGTAAGGGGGCAGAAAGGCCGCCAGGCGGGCCAGCCCGTTCGCCTGGAAAAGCGCTGCGAGCAGCGTACAGAGTGCGTCCGTCGCACCCTCGCCCGCGGCGCTAAGTCGCAGCGCAGCGTCTTCGCCGCAGTGCAAGTAACAGAGCGCACCCGCGCGCTGCCGCGCGCTGCGCAGACAAAACGCCGCGACCACGCTGAACAGGTTGAGCAGCTTGAGGTCGCGCGGCGCGATCTGCGTCGCTTGCAGCGCAAACGTTGCGCCGAGGCAGTCTCGCGCGTACACCGCGCCGCCGCGCGCGAACAGTTGTGACAGCGCGAGCTTTGCGAAGGCTGCGTCGACCGGTGCGAAGACCACTACGCCGCTGGGCAGTTCCACCGGCGGAGGCGACGGCACCGCGGCTTCGGCGAGCGCGCGCATTTCGGAGTATAGCGCGAGCAGCTGCGCCGCGTCCGCGTCTGGCGCGGCCGCGACCGGCGCGCACTGCGCGTAGCGCGGCTCGCGGCGCAGCGCGTTGTACAGCAGACTTTCGGCGATTGCGGCCGCGGGGCTAGCTCCGCTCGCAGCCAAGTGGTCCGCGACCAGACACAACTCCGCGCTGAGGTAGCAGTAGAGGTTCGGGCAGTCCGCGAACGAGCTCGCGCGCTGCAGCGCGGCGCAGATCATGAACAGCGCGTTTTTCGCAGGCGCGAGGTGGAACGCTTGCAGCAGCGCGGCGGAGCGCAGCGGGTCGCTCGCGCTGACCCCGAGTGCAATCCAGGCGTCCGGCTGCAGCGGGTCGAGCAGGATGGCGTGCTTCGCAAGCTGCGCGACGCAGCCCGCGAGCTCCGGTTCCGGCAGCGACGCGAAGAGCTGCTGCGCGTTGTACGCGAACTGCGCAGAGCGGTGCTGCCAGAGATACTGGTGCAGCGGCACGCGCTGGTTCTCGTACAGGACGCGCGCGTTCAGGCAATCGGCGTTGCGCGCTGAGGAGACCAGCTCGAGCAGCACGACTGCGAGCGGCACCGGCAGCGATGTCGCGAGCTTGATTGCGCGCAGGATGATCTTCGCGTGCAGCGAGGCGATGTTCGAAATCGATAGCGCGCTGAGCAGCGCCGGCTTCAAGTCCGCGAACTTTTTGAGGCTGACTGCGCCAATCTGCGCAACGTCTCTGACGTCGATGCGGGACTTCTGCAGCACGTTCGTCGTGAGCTTGCTCATTTCGCTCGGAAACAGCTCGATGCTGCGCAGCAGGTTGAACGCGTACAAGTAGGTTTCGAGCGGAGCGGCGCCGTTTTTCAGCAACCAACTGGTTTTCTCGAGCACGCAGAGTGCCAGCGAGAGGTGGTCGAACGGCGGCTGGTTAGTCGTTTCGAGCGGCGGTAGAAAATCGTCGGCGCAGCAGCGATGCTTTCGCAGCGCCGCGAAGTAAAAGACGGCGAACCAGTCGGCGTCGTTTATCACTGAAATCAAGTTGTACTGGATCAGCGTGGCGCGGTTGTTGATCACCAACAGCTTCGGCCAGTTTGACACCAGGCTGCAGAGCTGTTTGTAGCAGAAGCCGAAGTGCAGCGTCTTCGCGCGCAGCGCAAACAGCGCCGACGGCTTCTCGGCGCAGAACGTGTGCACGGCCTGGCGCCACAGCGCAGACATGCGCACGGTGTCGCTCGCGACGTTATTCAACACGTAGGCCTTGCGGCCGCCCGCGTCGCTCAACGAGCCAACGACCGTGATGTTGCACTCGTAAAACAGCTTGAGCGCTGCGAAAAAGCAGTGGTAGTAGTCCAAGCAAGCGCTAAGCTGCAGCCGCGCACCGTTGGTAGCGGCGCAGTCGTGCTTGCGCAAGTATCGCACGAGGAACAGACGACAGCAGTTCTTGAGCAGCACGTGGAAGCTGAACATCAGAAAGAACATGTGCGCGCAAATGTTGTCCGAAAGCTCGAGCATGAATAGCCAGTCTTTCTCGCTGTTGCAGTAGACGCTGTACTCGACGTAGTTGCTCGCGGAGCTCAACTCGTTCAGCACGGCTGGGACGAATTTTTTGTTCGAGTCGCTGTTGCACTGCTTCTGCAGGTTGACGATCTGCGCTAGGTAAACGGCTGCGCAGAGCGTCGGCGCGGCGTGCGAAAAGTTCTGGTCGAAATTCGCTGAAAACAGCGTTTCGAGCTGGCGCACGTCGTTGTTTTGCAGCAGCGCGAGCGCAACCTCCGCAATGTTGTTGAAGGCGGAGTCGGGCGCGGGCCGCTGCAGCAGCAGCGCGCCGGCGAAGTGGTGCACGCTGCTGAACAGCGAGGCTTTGAAGACGATGCGCAAACTCTTTGCAGACGCGCTCGCAGTCACCAGCTCCTTCAGACTGCTGTTCGACTTGTCGATCAGACTGCGCAGCGCTAGCTGCAAGTTGCCGCAGATGCTTCCGGCGAGCACGTGCGCCTTGGTGACGCAGCCGGCCGCGAACGCGGCGAGACAGTCGATTTCGAGCGAGTTCAGCACCGAATTGAGCAGCGAACTGCTGAGCAGCGTGCGCAGCAGCGCGTTGAAGCACGACAAGTCGCACTGCTGGTAGCATTCGGCGCGCAGCCTGGTGACGAGTTGCGCGAGCCGGCCGTACGCAGCCGCAGACGTCGCGACTTCGCGCGGCGCAGAGGAAGGATTCGCGAGGAGCGCGGTCTGCAAGTCGCGCAGCACCTGCGCGTGTTCCACTGGCTCGAGCTGCGTCTGCGGCTGCGGCGCCGTGCGCGCGGCGGGACAGCGAAGCGTCGCCCAAGAAATGCGCCGCAGCAGCCCGCGGTGCTCCACGGCGAAGATGCCGTTGTACAGCGCGAGCACGTAGCTGAGATGGTGTGAGTCGCGGCTGAAGTTGGCGTAAACGCTGTTGACCTCTGGCACCGCGCTGGCCGCCAGCAGTTCCGCGTCGCCGGAGAACAGCTGCTGGAACGCTGCGAAGCGCGGACTGGCCAGGTGCGCGAGGTACAGGCGCGCAAGCCGCTGCGCGTTTGAGAGCTGCACATCTACTTCGGCGTGCTGCAGCGCGGCGAAGTACGCGCGCTTGTGTCCGCGCTGCACGACCGAGTCAAACGTGGCGAACAGCTGCGACTCGGGCAGCTCGGAAAGGAAGCGCAGCACGCCGGCAAAGCCGTCGCACTGCGGCTCGCGGCGGCCCGCCGCCGCGTCCGAGTAGACGGCGAAGTTCGGTTCGAAGTTGTTAACCGTCAGCACGCTACACGCAACCGCCAGCGGGAGCCATTGCGGCGAAGAACGAAACTCGTCGGACGCAGCGAGCAGGTCCACGAGCGCGTCGTCCTCGAGCCGCGTGAAACAGCGCTTGTGGAGCGGCGCGAGCTTGTCGAAGCGCTGCGTCTCGAGGCTGAAAAACAGTTGCGACAAGAAGAGGTCGAGCATGAGCGTTTCGTGTAGCGCGAGCGAGTCGTGCGAGCCTGACAGATGCGGCGCGCTGCTCACGAACCACAGCTTGCGGATCAGCGAGTGCAGCGACTTCGCCTCGTCGGTCTTCGGCGCGAGGTCCTCGGCACTGAGCGCTGCGAAGTGCTCGAGCAGTGCGCAGCTGATTTCGAGGCACGCGGCGAGTGCATCGCGCGAGTACGTACCGGAGTAGATGTGGTGCGCGCGGACGTCCTTGAGCACGCAGACGAGCGTGTGCAGCAAGCTCAGCGAACAGTTCGCGCCGAAGTCGACGCCGTCCGCGAGCAAGTTCGTGAGGCTGCTGCGCGCGCAACGCAGCACCTCGGTCAGCGCGGCGCTGGAGAAGAAACTGACAGCGACGACGGAGACGTACGCCTCGCAGAACGAGCGCGCGTCGTTGCTGCCGAAGCTCACTGCGCAGCTCGCGACGTAGTAGCTCACGAAGTTTCGCAGATAGTCGACGAACAGCGGCGCGGCGCCGTTGCTGCGCGGCGCGTCGAAGCTCGCGACGTAATTGGTGAGCAAGCCACGCCGGTGCGGCACGCCGATGTAGCTGGGCGCACTGTAGCTAAACTTCGAAGACACGTACTCGCTCGCGTGGTCCTGGCCCAGCTCGACGAGCTGCGAATCGCAGACCAAGTGTGACAGCACGTTGGACACCTCGGTCAGAAAGTTCGAGCAGTCGACAAAACCGACCGTGAAGCTCTCGGCGAACAACGCGATTTCAGCGACGTGCCGCGCAGAGTCGCTCACAGAGCCGGCAAAGCGTAGCGCGTGCGCGAGCACCTCGAGCAGCCGCAAGAGCAGCGCAGCGTGCGCTGCGGCGTCCCCGGCAGCGTCTCCGGCGCCCCCGCCCGCGTTGAAGCTGATCAGCTGTGTAAAGATAGCCTGCTGGGCCGCGTTCAGCAGCGAAGCTTTTTGGCGCACGATCTCGTCGAGCGTCAACTTCGAATTCTGGCACAGCGATTGGTACACCGCTTTCGTCAGTTGCAGAGCAAACGGTACGAGCGTGTCCGAGAGCTCGGAGTGCAGCAAATACTCCGTGAGCTGCTGCAGACGGCGCGCGTGCGCGATGAGCTTTGGCTTCGGGTCCGCCACGAGCAGCTTGTAGAAGCAGAAGAGCGTGATTGCGACGTGGAAGTCGGCGTTTGGCGCGAAAAGATCGTCGATCTGGGTCCAAGCGCCCGTCGCGAACATCAGCGAGTAAATGCGCAACAGCACCTCGTCCCACTGGTGGTCGACGAGAAAGACGAAGAAGCGCAGAATGAACTGCGCCACAGCGCCGCACAGCTCGATCTCGACGCGCGTCAGCGAGGCGAAACTCAGCAGCACGTGCCGCACGAAGCCGCTGAAAGCAATGCAGCACCAGAGCTTCTGATCGCGCTGCGCGAGCTTGGTAACGACACATAGCAGGAAGCACAGTGTGGCCGCGGAGCAGTAGTGCAGCGCGAACAAGTCTACGGACTTGAGCAGCGCGCGCATTTCCGTTTCGGCCACTGCCGGCACCTCGATGTTCTTGCGCCACAGCGGCTCCGCAGCCGCGTTCAGCACCTCGACGTGATGCAGCAGGTAGACTAATTGCGCAAGTGACACGCTGAGATGCTCGCCGACCGCGCGGACCACCGCATAAAGCTTGAACAGGCCCGGGTTGTGCGCGAGCAAGCAAGCGCGCGCGTCACCGGACCGCGGCTTCTTCGCAGTGCAGCACTTGACGTGCGGCGCGAAAGCCGTGTGCGCCAGCTCCAAGTCGTGTGTAGCGGCCGTGGCGAGCAACCTGTCGTCCATGACATGGCGCACGAAGTCTGCGTAGAGCAGGCGCACGCACGCAGGCGTCAGCTGTCCAAGGAACGGGCCCAGTTGCGAGAAATTCTGCGCACCGCGAAAGTAGAAAGCGAGCGCAGGGGCGTTTTGCGCGAGAAGCACGCGTCGGTCGGTAAACGCCAGATCGAAGCGCACCGCGCAGAGCAGACGCTCTGCGCCAGTCGACTGCGCGAATGTGAGCAGCACGGGGGCGCTGAACGGCAGTGTGCCGTGTGCCATCGCCAGAAACAGCACGTACACAACGCAGTTAGTGACCGGCGCGAGCTCAGAGCGCGCGCCAGACTCGAAGCGCTGCAGTGCGTCCGCGCATGCTGTCGTGAGTGTGTCGCGCGTCGCGGAGCTGAACTCGGAAGCGAGCCGCAGCCAAGTGAACAGCGAGGCGGAAAGTGCGAACGCAGGCAGTACGTGCCACGGCGTCGCGCCCTCATCTGCAGCGCAGTCGGCGCGACCCGACTTTAGCTGCTCCAGCATCGACGCGCCGAACTCGACAAACACGCGCTCTGTCGCATTGCCGCCGTACGCGCGCAAATCGGCGGGCAAGTAGTAGAGCTCCTGCTGCGGCGAGAAGCGCGCGTTCGCGGCGCACTTCAGAATCAGTGAAGCCAAGTCGAGGTTGCGCAAATCTGCGGGCAACAGACTGTAAAATAGCTGTGTGCTTTTGAACTCCAAGCAGGCCAGCGCGCGGTTCACGATGTAGCGCACGTAGTGGCTGTTCTTCGGAAAAAAGCCGAACAGGTGACTCAAGCACGCAAGAAACATCGTCGAGATTTGCTCGAAGCAGCGCAGTAAGCTCTTCTGCGAGGCGCAGCATGCCACCAGCAACAGCGTAGCGAGCAGCGACTTCAAGAAGTGTATTTTCTGCATGAAGAGGCTCGCGTCGCAGCAGGAGCGCGCGAGTTGTTTCGCGTTACCGCTTGAGATTGAAGCCTTGAAGTCGTAAGTCGAGATGAGGTTGCTCACGCCAAAACTGTGGTAGGCCTTGACCACGACCAGCAAACTGTCGTAGACCGAGTTGATCTTCAGCCAGAACGGCACGAGGATGATGTTGCTGCGCAGCATACGGAAGATCTTCTCATCTTCGAGAGCCTCCTTGGTGTGCTTGAGCATGCCACCGAGCATGGCCTTGCAGACCTCTTGGAAGTTTAGCGAGTCTCGGCGCAACGACTCCGCGACGCGCTGGTCGTACTCGAGCAACGGGACCGGGTGTCCAGCGGTGAAATCCGCGGCGAGCGGCTCGACACTCATGACCGTCAAGTTGCGTACCAGGAAGTTTTTGAAGTCGTCGAGGTGCTGCGCATCGTAAAAACTGGCGTAGATCCAGCGCCGAAAGAGTGTCTGCAACCACTTCCTGCCGAGCACATTGTTGGGGTCCTGGTTGCAGTAGCGAAACACGGGGTTCATCTTTTGCTCGGCCGTAAGCTCAAGCCAGTTCGCGACCTGCGAGAGGCGCGTGGCGAAAAACTCTGCGTCGCGCGTCTGCACGAATTCCGCGAGAGCCAGCACAGCGCGGCTCTCGAGCGACAGAGCGTGGAAAATCGACTCGCTCTGCAGGCTGCGGCTGCCGTAGTAGCGCTTTAAATAGATGTCTGTGGAGCACATCGACGTGCTGATGACCGCGATGAACAGCAGAAACAGGGGCTGGATCTTCGCGTTCACGCGCAGCGCCAAGCTGTAGGAGACGAGTTCGAGCATCGTGAGCAGTTGTTTGTCGAGCACAGCAAACGCTTGGCCCAGGCGGTGCGAATGCTGGAAGCGCACGAAGTGCTGCGAAGGACTAACGCCCGAGAGCTTGCACGCGAAAAAGTAGACGGTGACGACGCCGAGCACGGGACAGCAACGTTCGAAGCACGTGTCGGGCACGCAGGAGCTGACAAACAGCTTTTTGCCTGCGCGCAGCAACTTGAAGTCGATCAAATCGAAGCAGAATTCGTTCAACTGCTCCTCGCTCACGCTGCAGACGAGCAGGCCGTCCGGCCACGCACTCCGGTAGGTGGCGAGCAGAATGAGGTAATCTAACCGCAACTCGCCGCGGCAGGCGAACGCGCGCTCCAGCGAAAAGCGGAACAAGCGCGCGAACGCGTCGCGGTGCGCCGCGAGCAGCGCCTCAAAGCAGCCGTCGCACATTAGCACCACGCTGAAGCTGCTCAGCAGTAGTGTGTTGAACACATCTGGCCAGTTCTCGGACGCGGCCGCGCAAAGAGAAGGCTGCGCGAGCAAACAGAGGTACAACTCAAGCGCCCGGAGCGCAAACAACAAACTCATCGACTCCTGCGCGAACTCGAAGAACACCGCGACGTAAAGGGGGAACAGCCTCGACGCGGGGTTGCAGCACGGGAGCTCGTGGAACGCGTGCTTGGCAGTTGCGCGACTCAGAAACAAGCTAGCGATGGCTCGCTTGAGCCCCGGCTCGTGCTGCGCGAGCTTAAATTCTTTCGGCAGGTCTGCTTGCTGGAGCGCCTGCACGTAATCAGCGTTGCTTACGGCGTCAGCGCCGGCGGCTTGAATCGCGTCCCATCCGGGCGCGAAGCACACTTTTTCCGGCAGATACGCGAGTTGCTTGGTTGCTTCGCAGCAGAGCACACAGTTTACGGAGGGCGGCGCTCTGGCCGGTTCGCAATGCAACGCGTACGGCGGAGCACCGAAGTCGGCGAGGATTTGCGAACAGAGCAAAAGAATTGCCGACTTCTGACCTTCGACGAAAATTTGATGCTGCACCGGCAGCGCAGGGTCGCGTTCTGCGCTGCGCATTAATGTGTCGGCGATGGACTCAATCAAATGCTGAAAAGAACACTGCTCGTCGAGGTTGCGCAGCAGCCCGAACTGTGCGTAAAGGTCGATCTCGCGCGCAGAACTGTCGAACATCGAAAAGAAGCGCCACTCGCAGCCATTGCGCAGCTGCCGGATGAGTCGTACGTACGAAACGTTCTCTTTGTGCTTATGCGTGACCAAGCAAGTCAGCGTCCACTTCAAACACACGACGGCGTTCAACGAGGCCGCGACATGCGCGAGCTGCGCTACAAGTTCGATCTCGTCTAACAGTTGCAAGTACGGCAAAGCCACAACGAGGTTGTAACACGTCAGGTCGCTCGCGCCGTTCGCCAGCGAATACATGGCTAAGAGCAGCAGGAAGCGCGGCAGCCGCGTTTTAAAGTCGAAGTCTCCATCGAAGAAGCGCAAGAACGCGTCAAATGGCGGATGCTCGTGGTAGTAGACCTTGTCAACGAGGTAGATGACGTTGCGGTCCAGCGGCAGCGGAGCGGCGTGAAACACTTGCGCGGATGAATCGCTCGTATCGGGCCAGTTGGGTCTGGCGCAGCTCTCGCGCAAGTTGATCACCGGCGGCGCGGATACCGCCTTGCCGTCGGTGAGCTTCCTCTTTTCCGAGACCGCAGAGAGAACGTATGCGGGGTCGGTGATAGTCGCGTGCATGAACTGCCGGTAGTTAGAAGGCGAGTCTTTGCTGGTGCACACGAGCTCGGCGTCTTTGTAGATGCTGTGCAAAAAAACGCCGAGACACTGGAAAAAAATCTCGTCGCGCGAGACGAGCGCGGCAACAGTCGTGAGCAACAGGAAACTGCAAATGACGGTAAACGGTTCCGCAACTTCCTCCTTGTTGGCGACGCAGTTATACTGCAGGTCTGCGGAATGTTTTACGCGGTAAAAGTCGTGGTCGATGAAGCTGTTCAGGAGCCACGTGGAGACTGCTGTGAAGTCAGCTTCGCGTGCGCCGCCGACGGAGCTCTCGAGACGCGCATCGCGGCAAAAGAACCGGATGCAGCAGGCAATGTCTGGCGCCATCAACTTGAAAAGCAGCTGCATCAGCAAGCCGCGGAACTGCGTTGGCGAGATCTGCATAGAGTCGCCAGAGCCTACTTTTGCGAAAACCGTCGCTATAGTGTCGAAAAGGTAGATCTTCGAGTTTTCAGATATCGAGATAGAGAGAGTTTGCATCATGCTCAGAAACTTCGGCTGCAACTCGAGAGTGCCGGAGCGCCCGCGCGTTTGTCGGAGCAGCGTGTCATAGTGCTCGGCGTACGAGCGCAGCGAGAACGCTGAAAAATCGTAGGTGAAAGCGTCCGTTTCGGTCTCAGCCTCCGGATCTGCCTCCGGGTCGGCAGCGTCAACAGCCGCAGCGCGCAGCTCGTCAGAAAAAGCGGATGCCTCCTCTCCCCGCGAGCCTTCGCCGCACGGAGAGCTGCCTTCCCAGCTCTTGCCAGCGGCGGTCTCGCGCTTGACTAAACTGAGCGCAATTGCGTCCTGCAGTAGTTTGACCGTTAGGAACTTTACGGAAAGCTTCGGGCAGAAGTTCAGCAGTACTGCGAAGCAACAGAGATAAAAATTGGTGTTCTGCGCGAAGCGCCGAACAACCTCCAACGCCACTACGTTGTACGCTTGATGCGAGTCCAGCGGATGCATGAACTGCATGATGGTAAAGACAGAAACCAGCAAGTTCTGCGACTTCGCTATGCCGAGGCTATGGACGGTCACTGTCCATTGCGCCTCTAGCTGGAAGAGCAGCCGCAGCACGCAGCGGAGGATCGCCTCAAGTGAGTCAGTGGAATAGGTGAAAGGCGAAAACCAGTACTGCGACAAGCTCTGGTAGTTCGAGCCGAGCGCCGCAAGCGTCTTGAGAATAGACTGATGCAAAAGCGCCAACAGGTGGCTTTGGTTGTTCTGCGAGCTTTCTTTAAGCAGTTCGCGGTCGCGCAGCAAGTCGTTCTTCAGCAGAGCAACCTCCTTGAATTGTTCGACCGCTGCCACGAGCAGCGAGGCGCCTCTAAACAACTCGACGAGCTCGCTGAAGTAAGTCTTATCCGTCGCGCAGGAGGAGATCGCACGCGGGAACATGCGGGAGACAAAGAGTCGCACCGCGCGAGTGACCACGATAAGCAAATCGAGATGCTCACCGCCCTCAAAGCGAATCAAGGAGCGCAGCAGGATCTGCAGAAAGTCGAGGAACGAGCGGAAGATCGGCGACGCGAGGGGTAAGTGCACGGGATACGCGTCAAGCAAAACCGTCACGTTCTCGAGCAGTTTGCACGCATCAGCCGACTGAAAATTGCTGAGCAGGTCCTGCGCGCTGCGCGTGTAAATCATGTCGTGATCGAACTTGTTATTCTCGAAACTTAAATCTGCAGCTACGAACACGCTGTAGAGCCAAGTGCTCGCGCGCAGGCAGCAGAACAGCAGAAACGAGCGCAACTCGACGTCGAAGTTCTTGGACTCGGTCGAAAGGTACGCTAACCAGCCGTCTACGAGCTCGTGCGCCGACTTAAACCCGTCGGTCTGCAGCAAGTCGTGGCTTGAGAAATTCGCGACGCTGAGGATGGCGAGCAGCAATTGGTGCACCGAGAGCCCGCGCGCGTCGAGCGTGAAGAAGTTGTTGCGCGAGCGCAGGGCGAGGCATGATGGCCCAGCAGCTTCCGCAAAGGTCGTGTAGGAGGTCACTGAAGCGGAAACACTCTGCAGAAAGTTGCCGGAAAAGCGCAGCACGCACGCACAGTAGCAAGTCACAAACATCGAGAGCGAGCTGTAGCCGGAGACCAGGTGAGACGGAAAGCCAACGACGTGCGCGGTCGGTGCATCGGCGTCGCCGGCTCGTGCATCGAGCAGTCTGAACCGAATAACCAGTTCCTGGATCTTAGCCATGGTCGCGAAGTAGACCGTCATCATAGTGTTGTGCCGGCTGGTCGCGCCACTCTTAGAGTAGAGCGGCACGACCTCTACATCCGTGGCTTGCATCGTCGGGAAAACCTTGGCGACCGCGTGGTAGAAGGTCGCAAGCACCGATACGAATAGTTCGCGAGCAGGCGGATCGACGGCGCGCGCCACGTCGAAGGAGAGCGAGCGATGCAAAGTGCGGATCAACGTCTCTGTGTGTGCTTCGTCGTCGTTAAATATAGGCACGATGTCCCACTCGAAAAAGTACGCAGCCGCGGTCAGCTGCAACGTTGCAAGCGCGTTGTAGAGCGAAAGCAACCCCGGTAGCAGCGCAGCCTTGGGCAGCTCGGCAGCGAGATTCGGCGCGCCGCTGTCCGCACGCGCACCGAAGGCGTAGTGCTTAACACTGCCAACACAGCCGAAAGCAGCGGTGTTTGTGTCGAGCGCTTTGCGCAGCTGCGCGAAGTAGCCCGCATTCGCGTCTTCGTAGAGCGTCTCGAGCGCCGCGACGTCCAGCGCCGCAAGATCCACCGTGCCGCCGCTGACGAGGTGCAGCAAGTGATTGAAGAGAATTGCGAAGTGGTACAAGTTCAGCGTAATGTACGAATTAATTTGCAACTTGAACGAGCTCATTTTGACCATCAGCGCGGCGAGCGTCACGTACTGCGACGCGAGATCGAGCTCGCAGAGCGAGAAGACGTCTACGCGCGCGTCCGCGCGCAAGCTCAGCTGGATGGCGTTGCGCACGCAGGATGTGCAAAGCTCGAACATCACTTCAATTAGTTGCACAGAGACGAGCGGCTCGGCGGCTTTGTCGGTGCCAGCGCTACGCGCAACGCACTGCGCCGCGACCAGCACGAGCCACTCCAGACATCGGTAGTAGTAGAACTGGCACTGAAGAAACTCTTCGCCTTTGTGATGCGAGCACTGGTCGGAGTTGAAGACGCGCAGCGCTTCGTCGATCTTTTGCAAGTCGTTAAAAAGCAGTTCGAAATCCCATACGTGAACGGGCTCAACACTCGTTCCGATTTTCGCCAGAACGCTCGCGAGCTGCTCGTAAACCGCGACCGCCCGCGGCGAAATCTCAAAAGAGACAAAAGCGGCGATGGCTTGCGCGCTTGCGGTCTTGTACAACTCGAACAGAGAAGAGCTCATCGCTGCGTCGCTGCATCGCGCGACATCTCACTAATCGGAATTCAGGATTATGAAATTAATCTAGATTAACTAAATTAAGTAGAGATTGCGCTGGGCATCCGCGCAGTAAATCTGCTCAGCGGCGCGCGCAGGCTTACGCGACTCGCACGCTCGATCGGCTCGAATTTCGAATTTAAAATCTGCAGATTTTTATCAATTCTGCAGTTCATGCTCGGCGGCTCGCATGGAGCGCAGCAACTTTCTCAGTTATGAGGATTACGCGAAGTTCTCTCGCTACTGCTTGCTCAAAAGCGAGCTGCTTCTGCAGCGCAGCCAGCCCGCGATCGATCAGTTGCTCGTTAAGTGGTACATCGTGGACGTGCTGCGCCGCAAGCCGACGATAGAGCTGCACAAATTGTTGCTCAAAGCCATGAGCAACATGATCGCGCAACGGATGTTTTCTGTAGTCGCTGACGCACCAAAGCGTTCAACCGCTCTTGCCTACCAGCGCTTCCGCGTTCTGCTGCCTGACATAAACTACGTGCCGCTCGTGGACTGTGAGCTTGAATTTAATGAGCTTAATTGCTAATTCTGGGAAAACCTTGCTCGCGCGGTACGCGTATTTTCGCCTTTAGGAACGTGCTGCAGAAGGCGATGCTCCTTGAGTTTATAAACGCCAGAGTTCTGCGCGGAGATGAGCTGGTCGCAGAGTCGGTTTTCGTGCGGGACGGCCGCTTCGTATCGGCGGTTGCCGCGGAAGACACATCTACACGACGCACAATCGACTGTAGCGGTAAGATCATTTGTCCCGGTTTCATCGACATACAAAATAACGGCGCGTTCGGCGAGGACTTTTCGCAAGCCGAAGACCTGCCGCTGAGCATCTCGAAGTGCGGGAAGTTGTTGGTGCGCACGGGCTGCACGTCATTCTGTCCGACGCTGATCACGAGCTGTCCGACGTTTTACAAGCGTGTGCTCCCGCAAGTAAAGATTCAAACGCGCAACGACGTTGGCTGCGCAAACATGCTGGGGCTGCACCTAGAGGGGCCGATGATACATGTGAAAAAGTCAGGCTGCCATCCGGTCGAGCTAATCACTGACAAAGGCGCGCTGGCTTCGCGCGCAGAAGCTGAAAAGCTTCTCAGCGCAGTGTACGGCGACAACTTGGACGCCGTCTCTATCATAACGCTGGACGCGTCGACGGCCGGCTGCGAGCACCTCGTCGACGCCATCGTTGAGCGCGGCATCATTGCCAATCTGGGTCACTCCGTCTGCACCTACGCACAGGGAGAGCGCATGCTGGCGCATGGCGCGTCGGGGCTTACGCACTTGTTCAACGCGATGAACGAGTTTACGCCGACTGAGCCGCATCTCCCCGGGCTGATTACCCGCAGAGGCGTCGTTGGCCAACGCAGGGTCAAGTTGAGTCTCGACAAGGTTGCGATGCGACCGACTATTTTGTACTACGGCTTCATCTGCGACCTCGTGCACGTGGCTGCTGCAGCCGTACCGCTGTGCTATAAGCTGAATCCGGAGGGGTTATGCCTGATCACCGACGCAATGGCCGCACTCGGGCTGCCGGACGGAGAGTACACGCTGGGGCAAGCTCATGTGCAGGTGGGCGGCATGCCGCGCGCTGCGCGCCGCAAAGGCGAGGACACGCTTGCCGGCGTCATTGCGCCGATCAACGAGTGCGTGCGGAACTTCGTCGCGAGCACCGGCTGCTCGCTCGCGTTCGCGCTCAAGGCCGCGAGTCTGACTCCCGCGCTCTACCTGGGCGTCGACCACTCCAAGGGAAAAATCGAACCGGGCTTCGACGCTGACTTCTGTTTGATTGACGAAGATGTGAACGTTTATGAGACTTGGATCAACGGAAAAAAATGCTATAGTGCTAATTAGTAGCAGGGGCTGCTGCGCCGCGTCTGCGCGCCGACAAAATCCTTTTGATTCGCTCTGCGCTACGTCGCGCGAGTGCGGAAAACGTGCAGCCGCGCCTCTGCACACCCAGCTTCAAGCCTTGCGCTCCTCACTCTGTTGCGGCGGTGCCACGTCGTAGCAATTACCCTCGTTTACCTGGTGCGGACGCTTACTCGGCTGCGGAAAGGGCCGGTTGCCAGAGCCAAACGACCAGCCGGGGTACTGCTTTGCGGCGGTTCCGTGTTGCGCCGCGGGAAAATTCTGCTTGCCGTTGGCTAGCTGGTTCATTGGCGCGTTCGACTTGAACACAAACTGCGGCGGACACAATTTCGGGTGGAACATAGGCATCATATACGCCTGTCCGCCGGCGAACGGCACGTGCCGGAAGTTGCCGGCCGCGGGATGATGTGCGTCGGGCGAATAGAAATTATCGCGCGCACCCGGCTTGCCCGGCGGGCCTCGGTTCAGCGCTTGCGGCGCAGCGCCGTCATGCGGCCTGCACTGCTCAGGTAATTCGCCAAGGTTCCCGTTCGGGTTAGCGTGGCCCAAGCTCTTGCCGTACACGGGCGGCCGCTTGACGAAGTTCCCCGGGTGCATCAGCGGCGGTCCGGCGCAATTTGGCGGAACGGACGCGCCGTACATGCACGGCTTCATTCTGCCGTCGAAGACGGGTTCGTTCGGAAAGCGCATCGGCTCGCGCATCCGTTGGTGCCGCATGTCTGGCGGAAAGCCGAAGCCGCTGTCCTCGCCGCCCATGAAATGTGCAGCCTTTCCGCCGAAGTTGCCAGCTTTGTCTGCGTAAAGCTCCATAGGACCGTTGACCGCACCGAACCCGTTCATGCACGGCACGGCGCCGAGCATCTTGAGGTTGAACCCATGTGGCGGCATGTCTTTTGGAAACATGTTGCAGCAGGGGATGTGCGCGACGGTGAACTCCACTGGCCGCAAATAGAACTTCGAGGTCGAGGCGAAGCCGCTGAGCGCCGCGTAGCTCAAGAGGGTGTTCAGCAGGTTCAGCGCGCTCATGTTCTCGCGCAGCGACAGCAGGAGTTTCAGGCTGTCGAGGCACGCAGACGCGAGTCTGCGCACAAGTCCAAGCCGCAGGAAGTAAGTGCCGATGCCACCGCTCGCAAAGAGCTGTTCGACAAACCGTAAGAAAACGCCTGCCATTTCGCAGCCGCTCTCGATGTCGAACCGGTCGAAAACTAGGTTGACGAGATGCAAGTTGCGCTTTTCGAACAGCTCTTCCAGCCACGGCATGAAGTCGGTTGCGACGATGCGCTGGCTCTCGTTGACAGGGAATACCACGAACTGCGCGAGCCAGGAGAAGGAGGACGCTGGACTGCCGTTGTAGAGCCGCGAGAGCACTCGAATAGTCTCCTGCAGCGCCTCGCCGTAGTTCGACTGCATCAGTCTGCTGCAGTGCAGTGTGAAGCTCAGCGAACCTTCCGCGAACGCCGGTTTGGCGTGGCCGCTCGCCGCGGGTTTGGTCTCGCAGCTCGCGAGGTTCAAAATCAAGCGATGCGCGGACGCATAAGCGAAGTAGCCCTCGACGATTTCCGTCTTCGTGATCCCCGCGAGAACCTGTGGTGCGTGGCAGAGCGAAGTGGAGCACTGCTCGTTCGCCGAAAAGAGCCCAATGCCGATGAACGGCTTCGTGCTGGCAAGCGTGTCGGCCATCTTCAGCAACAGCGACGTCTCCATGGCGCGCAGCAACTCGCTGTCGCACGCGGAGTAGTCGACAAAATCGTTGACGCTTTCTTCTTCTAGCGCGAACGCCACGTTGATCACAGTGTAGTCTGCAAACAGCCTGTTGGCCGGAAGCGGATCGCGCGCCGAGTCTCCGGCATCCTGCTCCTGAAGTTGCGGAGCAGCAGCGACAGGCGCTTCGCATTCAGCAAACTTAACGTTGTGCGCGTGCTCAGCCAGCAAGCGCTGCTCGTAGAGCATAGCGAGCAGCTTGAGTTTCAGCACTTGTGGCGACTTGGTGACGCTGTAGCACATGAAGTGCGAGACAAAACCGCGCTGCAGTTCGCTCCAGTTGATCATGTCGAACAGGTTGCTGAGGAATACGAACTCCGGCATGAGCTTCTGAGTAGCAGAAGCTTTTTTGAACGGCCAAATGTTCATTACTGCTTTGCCTAGCTTGTTGAGCAGGTCCGCGTCGAACAACGAAAGCCAGGTGGAGACCGCCGAGTGCCAAAGCATCCATTCTTCCTCTGGCTTCCAAAAAAGGAGCACATCCTTCAGCAAGGAACCGCAATTCGCGGAAAGCTGGCTGAGCAGTGGCAAACACAGAGCATTTTCTGCGAGCACGCTCAGCACTTCCGAGTAACGCGTGTCATAATCGAGGTAAAGGAAGTCGAGGTTCATCGCGTTGCCCGCCGGCGGCGGCGCGCCGTTCTGCGACTGTGAGCTCGCGAATTTCAGCTTCTCCAGGTAAGTGACCAGCAAGTGGTACGGCTCGAACTGTGCGAGATTGTTCAGCACACCATACGGAAGGGAAAGCACGTCGAGTTTACGCGCAGAGCTGTGCGCGGAAGCGTAAGAGACGAGGTCCTGCGCGGTACCATCGTTGATGGAGAAGCTGCAGTACGTGTTGCTTTCGTCTTCGGAATTGTCGGTTTGATGCCTGATCGAAGTAAGCGCAAGGTTTGGCGCGGTTTTCTTGATGCAGTACAGCGCGCAACATACTGGAACGCTGATCTGGCGCAGAACGCGAAGTTCGGCGCGGCGCGCGAACTTTTCAGAGCCGGAGAGCAGCTGCCAGAGTGGGACGAAGTAAAAGTCCTTGCTCTTCGCTGCAAGCACTTCTTGATAGTCGTCCGTCTTGGCAATAAACTTCTTCCAGAAATCTACGTAGACGCAGAGCGCTAACTTGCAGCCGCTGTCCGGCACGTGCGTTTCAGCGCGCTTGGCTTCCGCAGCGAAGACGCTCTCCGCAGGCAGCACCAAGTCAGCGATCAGCTCGGGGTTTTTGCGCGAAAGATTCTCGGAGGCCACAGCAATCGCGGGACTTCCACTCAGAATTCTGAGAGTGTTAAGCACGACGCAAGCGGACATCAGTTCCACGCTGGGCAGTACACTGAAGAGAGCGAGCGTGCCAGCGAACAAGTAGTCCGAAAACTGGAAGCCGGAGTGCACGAGGAGCTGCGAACTGTACAGATTGCAACGTTTGCTCTCCACCCGGCTGGCATTCAAGTTGACACACTGGTTGCAGTAGTCGAGCACGAAGCCGGGATGGTTCACGTCGGAGTAGTACTTGGCGAGCAGCACCGTGTCGTCCGTCGCACTCGAGCGCAGGCCAGGCGCCGCGGGGTCCGCGTTGAGCAGCAGCACCTCATTCTCAGCGCCAATCGCGGTCTGCAGCCGTAGACGCTCTCGATCGCAGGCGTTTGCGCGAAAGTCGGCCGCAATCAGCGCGATCGTCGCTTGCAAAGTTTCGTAGTCCTCCGCCAGAAAGCGCTCGGGGAAGGTGAGCGTGGCAAAGTTTTGATCGCGCCACGCGACGGTCGCACGATCGCAGAGCGCTACGGCCGCGTCACTTGCAACCAGCGACAGGAAACTTTTGGTCGCGGCGAGCACGACTGCCTTGCCGGGCGCACCACAGCACTGCGCGGCGACGAACAGCAGCGTGTCCGCACAAATCGCGTTGGCGCCGAAAAAGCAGCAGCTTGGGGGCGCTGGGTTATCGGCGGTGCCGCTTTCTTGCCAAGAGCTCACGAGCTGCGTAAAGTTGCGGACGCGCTTCACAGCGGCGCTCGCGGAGAGGCGCACGCGCTTATGGCTCGCGGGCCGTTCGACCGCGCGCGCGAGCTCGTCCTCCGCATTAATTTCCTCGAGCAACAGCCGCGCGCTGTAGTGCCAAAAGGCGCGCACAAACGCGGCGACGGAGCTTTGCGCGTGCCGCTGCGCCTTCTTCTGGTGCAGCGCGCGGAAGCGATCTGGCGCGCTGCGGAAGGCCGAAAAAAAGACTTTGCGCGCGACTCGTTGCGCAAGTGCGCAGTCGCGTCGCAGCGCGACTTCGCGGAGGAGGTAGTTGCCTTGCCATTCTGCGAGACTGCGTCGAGCGCGCCGACACTTACTCAAATAGATCGCGCCGCGGCTTCGCGGGCAGTCTGCGCTGCTGCTCAAGCGCAGAAACTAAAGAGAACAGATCCAATAGCAACGGAACTACGCATTTATCCTGCAGCTCCGCGTCGTCGCATTGCATTCGCCCGGTCTCGCAGCAAACTCAGCGATCGAACGGTCTCGGCAAGTCGAACTCGAGCAAGTATGCAGCCTACAGCTCCTACTCGTTGAACAGCGGCGTCTCCGTCTCCTTGCACACTTGGAGCAGAAATCTTCGGCCGAAGCGTGCGCGAGTGCACATGATTAAGTTATTCAAAAATTTGCAACTGAATATTTGGACAAATAGCTCACAATAATCGCTGCGGAGCACGCAGCGAAGCGCGCGAAGCTGCGCCCAAAACAGAACGCGAACAACGCGAAATCTTTCGAAAACGGAATAATTGCACAGACGGTAATTTTGTCTAAGTTTATTATTCGCTTTTCCAGCTTTTTCTTCGACAGGCTTTTTCATGGTTAAGGTCTACAAGGATATTGAGACAGAGTCCGAGATCGGTTCTGACTCGTACGAGCGACGCGCACCGTTCGGCAACGATGAATTTGGCAAAATCGCTTTCGAGCTCGTCACCTCGATGATTGTCGATAAAGAAGAAGACTTCGGAATCTCGATGAACGTCGACGAGGACGCGGAAGAGGGCGCAACGGCTGCGGGCGGACTGGACGCGGGCACATCGAAGGTCATAGATCTCGTGAAAAACTTTCGCCTGACCGATTTTCCGTGCGACAAGGAGTTCTTCCGGAAGTACATCGCACACTACGTGAAAAACTACTTGCTGCAGCGCGTGCCAGCGGAAGAAAAGGAAGAGTTCACAAAGTTGGCGCCCGCGCTGATGCGCAAAATGTACAGCGAGTTCGCGAACGCGGCGATGTACTTTCCGGAGATCCCGAGTCGCAAGCTCTATAACGAGGACGGCTCGGAGCGCTCGATCGACGAAAACAACTTGCACCCGATCTACGCCTACTGGCACGGCGAGGAAGAAGCACCGCGTATGGTTTACTTCAAGCACGGGGTCGACGTCGAAAAGTACTAGTCGCGGCGTCACGAATTTTTTGTGAGTAATGTAAATACATTAGAGCGCTCGCCTACAGAGTCGGGAACTCCTCTTTGTGCAGCTCGAACGCGTCCCCTTCGGGCGCAGGGCAGAGCTCCGCGATGTCGGTAGAGTCGAGCACCTGCTTGGCCTTTCTGATGAAGACGGTCGTGCCGCAGTACGAAACCTTCACGGACTCGCTGCTCTCCGCGTCGACTGCCTCGGCCTTCGAGCTGAAATAGCCCGGCAGCTGCTCGAGCAACTCGAGTTTCTTCGCGACAGTCTCGGCGTCCGCGCGCAGCTCGTAGGTCGCCTCGCGCAGGTCGCCGTGTTCGCGGGACAAGTGTTGCAACTCATCGCGAAGCTCGGCGACGTCCTCCTTTTTGCCGACGATCGTGAGCTTGTTTGCTTCGCGGTCGAAATTGATCGAGACGCGGTGCGTCTTCGTCAACGTTTTTAGCAACTGCCCTTTGTCAGTGAGCAAGCGCTTCGACAGGTTGACGCCGAACAGCTCAAATTCTTCGCAGTGGGAGTGCTCATTGAGGAAGTGCAGGACTTGCGCCTCGGCGCCGACGAGCGCGGAATCTTCGCCAACGAGGATCAGCTTCTGTTCGTTGCGGATGACGATCACCCGGCAACCCGTGAGTTGCGTGAGCTCTTGCACCGCGTGGTCACTCAAGGCGAGCAGCTGGGTTTTGTCGAGTACGACGTCGCGGATCTGGTAGCACGCCTCGACGATCAAAGCGGACAACTGTGGCTGCAGCGCGGCCTGAAACTGTTTCTCGTACACGAACGAGATGTTGTCCTCTTTGAAGGACTGCGGCACAAGCGCAACGCCGTACTGCTTAACCAATTTGTCGTAACGTTCGTAGATCGGCTTCATAAGCGACGACTTCGTGCGGCTCTCGAAGCGCGAGTAGACGCGCGCCGGACACTGATAGGTGTCGACGACGTACTTGTCGATGATCTGCTCGCGCAGCGCCTTCGCCGCTTCAGCGACCTTGTCGGTGTTGCAGCTCACGACGATGCGGCAAACGTCCAGCTCGCTGTCGAACACTATGTTGTAGCGGCCGCCAGTTTCCGCGCGAATGCGCTCGATTACGCCGGGGAACACTTTTTGCCGGACGGCCGCGAGTTTCGGCTCGATCTCGAGCTCGAGCTGGCCGCTGCTGTCGTCTACGGCGCTGCGCACGCCGACGAAAGCGGCGTTCGCGGCCTCTACGGCGTCCGCCGAGCCGAAGAAGAGCACTTGGTTTTCCTTGTTTACGAAAATCAACGCGTCGGTCTCGGCCTCAATGCGGCTGAGGTTCGCGCCACCTTTGCCGATGAAACTCGGCAAGTATTTGTGGTCGCACGCAATTGCGCTAGACGCGCCGAAGCTGCAATTCTTCAACCACGCGATGCAGGCGTCCGCCGCCTTCTCGGTGCCGAAGACGAACGCTTCGTTGCGCCACTGGCAGACGTGCACGCCGAATTTCTGCTCGAGCTTGCGCAGCACGGCGGTGAACGCGCCGAACTGCACGCCGGCGGGAACAGCGAGGCACACAATCTCGTTCGCGCGCACTGCCTTGTTCATACTCTTCAGCTTCTCGAGCGCGACCTCTCTCTGTGCGCGCAAGCACGCCAGCTTTACGCCGGCCTCGACGGCCGAGCGAGAAGAGTTGATCTTTTCGAGCAGCGTGGCGACAGCGTCTGAAAAAATCGAGTTGTTCAGCGCGAAATTCAGCGCCTTCAGTGCATTCAGCTCCGAGCCCACTTTCCCCGCGTTCTCGTTGTTCTGCTCTAACGCGCGAATCGTCTTCCTGACTTCTTCGACGGAGACGCCGTCCTTGTAGTACTGCGAGTACGGAACCTTGCGGAACAACAATTTGGCCTGCTCCTTAACCGTCTTCACGAGCTCGTCAAGGCTCGCCAGCCGTTCCTTCGTCATGCGCGTCGCGGACTTGAAGTCCGCTTCGTCGCACGCGATGATCTCTTTCAGCTTCTGCTCAAAACTGCGCAACAGTTCCGCGCGATCCGCCTCCAACTCGTCGAGCAGCTCGGCATCCAGCACCGACGGCGGCTTCGCTTTCGCGGCCCCCGAACTCTGCCGCGCGCGCGGCTTACCTTTCCTCGCGCGCGGCTTATTGCTCGGCTGTTCCGAGGCGGATTCCGGCGTAGTAACGCCCGTTGTCGTCGCGCGTTCCGTCGACTCTGAATCCGCCGACTTGTCGATAGAGGCGAGAAAAGCATTTGGGCCGTCCTCGGCGGGTTTTTTCTGCGCTTGTTTCGAGCGCTTTTTCTCCTTTCCTGCGCTTTCCATTTGCGAACTGATTTCGGAGAAAATTTGATCTATTCGCGAGTTCGACGCGGACTTGCGTGCAGATTCGCCAGACTTTGACCTCGCGTTGGCCTCACTCTTTTCGACAGCGGGTAGCGGCATTTCACTCTTCGCACTCGACGTCTCGCTGGCCGCAGGTTCATCGGCTTTGCGGCCGATCCGGGTAGTCGCAGCAATCCAACTCCACATAGCTGAATTCGCTTGAATAAATAAATAACTCAAACAAAGATTCAAATTCGCGCGACTAATTCCGCGGCGACTCGCGCATCGCGAATCCGTCGCGCCATCAGCTCTTCGCTCCGGCGGAGCTTACATCTCCGGCTGCGGCAGTAGCGCGTTGGCGCGCGAACACATCGCGTTTCGGATGCACTTGAGCACCGTCTCGATGCTGTACGACGGTTTCCAGTCTTGCAACACGATGAACGCGGAGTTCTGTAGCGTGCCGTCAGGGTTCACGCCGGCCATGTTGATCGGCACGGTAAACTGCACGCGCGGCGGCCGCTCCGGGTAGTCCTCGCCACAGACGACGCGCAGCGAGTAAATCTGCGCGCTGTAGACTGTGTTCGTGGCGCCGATGATCGTGCAGGCCCAGTTGGTGAGCGTGCGGTCGTCGTGCTGCTCGAGCCCCCAGCTGCAGCCGTCGGCCATGTTGCCTTTTTCTCCCTTCTCAAGTTCCTCGAACAGCTTGAAGCGCCGCGGAAGGACGACGCGCGACTGCATTCTCAGTGTGGCAGTTTTTAATCAGCGCCAATCTGATCTGCGTCTAATAAAGAAATAGAGAAATGGCTTTTGAAAAATCAAATGTTTTCGCTGGTCACGCGCGTAATCGACTTGGCGCTCGGAATCTGGTACTACCCGGAGGAGCGGCGGCTCAGTGCAAACTTTTTCCAAACCTTGCGGGCAGCGCGCAGCGTTTTGGCGTAGTGTCACTAACAAGCTACTCCGTGGTGCGCATGGCGGAATAATGCGCTTATAAAATTCCAAGTTCACGACGCAGCGCAACTAACCGAAACTTCGCCAACTCCCAAAACAGACTGCCATCTGCAGCCAGAAATGATGGATAATTTCATGTAGGTTTTCCACACCGCAAATTAGTTCGATGGAATCTGCGGAGTTTTTCAACACAACAAAGACCGACCACTCCGTTCCGTTCAAACAAGACCTGAAGGACCGCGTGCTGTTGTGCGGGGTCTTTTCGTTTTTCGGCTCGCTTGCACTAATCGGTAAGTCCACGCAGCAGCGCCTCAGACACTGTAAAGCGAAAGCTCTCGTCCCCGTTCCTGTGCTGCAAGCGGCCCAGGCAGACCGGCGACGGTTCCTACCAAGAAGTCGACATCACCAAACTGCAAATCGACTAAGCTGCGGCAGCGCGCGCGACTTACGTGCGCGTGTCGCGGCTCTCTGAGTCGAGCAGCGACTCTGCGAGCCGCATGTACTCGGCGACGTCCTCGGACTCTTTCGCGGAACGCTGCAGCTTGTTGACGCGCCGGCGCTTGCAACGCTCGAGCTGCTGCAGCGCGGTCCGCTGCGCGCCGCGTTCTCCGCCGCTCGCTGCCGCCGGCAGCCGTTTGCGCAGCAGCGGCGTTGCGCTTTCTCCGCGCAACTCGCCGACGAACTCGGCGCGTCTCGACGAAGTTCTATCCGGCAAACTGCGCTCCGAGTCGTCGCGCGAGGCTTCGCTGGCGGCAAAAACTTCGGCGCAAATTTCCGCGAGCCGCGCGCTCAGCGGAAGGCTGCGCAGCTCTTGCCAAAAGCTTTCGTCTTCGTTCGCAAGCGCGTGTCGGTCGCGCACATGCAGCGCACAGCGCCACTGCGCGGGCAAACAAGTCAAATTCACACAGTACCAGTGGACGATGACGGGGCACTGCTCGCACTGCAACAGTGACAGTGCGTCGCCGCTCGCGCGGCACACGCGGCAGACGGGCCCGTCCGCGGCGCCGAGCACGACTTGCTGCTTGACGTCGCAGGTCTGCACCAGCCCCACGCGTGCGCCGCGCGCGTCGTACTCCGCCACAAAGTTGAAGGTGTACTTGCAGATACAGCAAGAATTGTCTATCTTAGCCCACTTCAAGATGCACTCGAAGTGGAACACGTGCAGGCAGCAGAGCACGAGCCCGACCGTCTCGCCCTCGAGAAGCTCGATCTCGAGCAGACACGCCGAGCAGTGTAGTCTGTTCTGCGCGCAGTCGTCGCCGCGGACGAGTTGCGCGAAGTCCAGCGTGCTTGGAAACGCCTGGCTCAGCATGTCAGAGGTCACGTCGAGCGCCGAAACGTCGGGCCAAACCTTGCGCGCAGCGGCTGCGCGCGCAGCGCTCGAATTCGCAGAGGACGTCGTAGCCGACGTTCAGTGGCACGATTCGAGTAATAAATTATCGAGCAAAAAAAGCAGGTAACTATAGTCTGGGTTTTCTGTGAACCCGAGAAAAGTGGTGTACAGAATGAACCGGTCAACTGTAGTTCGGTGCTCTTTTTGGAACAACTCCTCAATTACTTTGAGCTTCAGCCGCACGAGTGCTTTGACCGACAGTCGTTCTTGCCGCACGGGGAAAGCTTTGCGGTAGAACTGGCTGCGGCTGCAGAAATACTTGAGCATCCAGCTGCACGACTCGAGGTCGTCGCGCCGCGACTGCTGGAAGCCGAGCAGACTATTGATGCTCGCAAATTTGATCGTGCCGACCACACGGTTCTGGTAAGAGAACTGGATGTGGCGACCTTCGGAGCGGTACAGCTGGCTGAGTCCGAAGTCGATGATGTACACGCGGTTGCGATTCGCGCCGACGCCGAGCACGAAGTTCTGTGGCTTGACGTCGCGGTGGATGTAGTTTTCGCCGTGCACCAGCTTCAGCAGCAGCACGATCTGTCGCACGAAGAAGACCACTTCGTGGCTCGTGAAGTTGTAGCCGTAGCTGCGGAACACGGCGTCGAGGTTCTCGCTGAGCAGCTCGAGCACCAGCACGTGGTACACTTCGCCTTTGCACACCGTCGTGAAAATCTCGAAGAACTTCGGAATACCTCTGCAAAAGCCCAGCTTCTTCAGCAGCGCTGACTCGTAAAACAGCGTACTGTTGAAGCGGTAAGCCTTCTCAAGCTTCGCGGCGGCTTCGACCTGCGTGTAGACGTTCGCGACTTCGTAGACCACGCCGAAACTTCCGCTGCCGAGGCGCCGCTTAACCACCCAAGAGCCGCAAAAGTCTCCGCGAGCGAGCATTGCGATGAGACGAGAGCTCCGCCGGAGATTTTGTTTGGGGCTTCAACAATTATTGCAGATCTCCCAAGTTGTGCCCCACCGCCGAATGCGGAGTAGTGTCTGCCGAGCGCGGCTTCAACTCGTACAGCACCAAGGCGGCGCCAGTCGCCGCGCTAATATCCTTCAATTTCACAAACTCTGCGCGCCCCGGCAGGTGCGTCTCGAAGTCGCGCCTGAGCGAGTCGCTGCAGCAGAGCGCCTGCACCAGCCCGTTCTGCTCGACTTGCTCTCCGATCAGCATGTCGCGTCCCCAGCAATTGTACCGGACGCGCTCGCTTCCAAGTACCGCGCCCGCGCAGCGGCCGGCGTGCAGGCCGATGCGCAGTCCGCGGCCGGGGAACGAACCGGCGCGCAGCGCTACCAACGTGTAACTCAGGCACTTCAGGCTGAAATCGTAGACGCTCTCGAGCGATTGCTGCACGAATTCCGCGGAGCCCGCGAGATCGTCGTCCTCCGTCAGCCCCACGGCTGCAGGGTCCACGTCGCTGAGTGCGACATACGCGTCGCCAATCGTGCACAGCTTGTAGACTTTGCTCTCCGCGCAGAACTTGTCATACGCAGTCAACACCAACTGCAGCCGCTCGACGACGACGTGCGCCACTGTCTCGCTCGCGAATTTCGTGAAGTCCGCGATGTCGCTGAAGAAGAACACCGCGTACTTGTGCTGGAACACGAACTTAGCCAACGACTTGTCCAACGCTGTGCTGACAAAGCGCGGCAAGGCGCTGCTCAGCATCTGCTGCTGCTGCTTGCGCATGAAGCGGATCGTGCGCTCGCTGCGGAACACGTGTCGCTGACTTATCTGCACGGCGCGAACTGCCAACAGCTGAACGATCGGCAGCGCGGCCAGGTGCGCCGCGCGCAGCGAGATGCCGCGCTCGTAGCCGAACGCGATTGCCAGCGCGGCGGCACAGAAAGCGACGCAGCGCAGCTCCAGCGTTAAGCCGCTGCCGGCGCTCGCGCCCAACAAAGCTGCCAAGGCCGCGTTTAGTTCCACGTAGAGCCGCAGCTGGCTGACGCTGCGTAGGGAGCAGCCTTGGCCGCACGCCTGCAACGCGCGGCCAAACGACAAGAGCGCGTTGCAGAGCAGCAGCAATCCGAGCTGCTGCTGCCACAACAGCTGCAGGTTGCGCTTCGCGCGCAACCGTGACGCCGCGAAGCCGAAGTAGGCCGCGCACAGAAGACGCGAGAAGCCGCCGAGCGCGGACGGCCGCTGGCCCTCGAGCACGCTCGAGACCGCTGACAGCAAGTTCTGCAGCGCGGCGAAGCGCGCGCCGCCGACAGCCGAATTCTCGGCGTGCGCGTAAGGCTGCGCAGCTTGGAACTCCGTCTCGATTTTCGCGTTGCGAAATCGGCCCGACCAGTAGTCGATTCTTTCAGTGTTTTTCATGTGCTGGATGCGCAGCAACACGAGGTGGTCCAGGTTGGTGAAGCGCGGGACGAACGAAGAGCTGCGGTCCTTGCGAACCACCTGCAAGAACTCTCCGCGCTCTAGAAGCCGCAGCCGTCGCTGGTACTCGGCATCTGCAGAACCCGCCAGGCACTCGACCGCAGCGCCCACGTGCAGCAAAAGTCTGCGGCGTAGGGCCACGGCAAACCTCCACCACACCGCCTCTTTGCGCCGAGCAGGCGTGCGTTCTTTGCGTCCGCGCTGCTTCAGAGTTTTTGCCAGCTGCGTCAGCCGCTTGGCGTACAGTTGCGTCAGGCGCTCGAACTGCTGCTCGTCCCACGCAGAAGTGCTGCGTATCACGACGTCGCCTTTGCCCTTGACCGCCAGCTTCTCCGTCCGCCAAGTGAAAGTCTTGATGGCAGTCGGCGCAGCGTCGTAGAAAGAGGGGCTGATCGCGATGCAGTTCAACGGACACTTCGACTTCATGCGCGCCGCAGTGTTCGTGAGGTCGCCGACAACTGCGTGCTGCGGGTGCAGCTGGCCGACCAGCGCGGCCAGCGCGGAGCCGCAGTTCAGCCCGATGCGCAGGTTCAGCAGCTTCGAGACGTCGATGCTCCCGTCAACATCCACGCCCTTGTCGATTGAGAGCAAACTCGCGAACATTACCATCTCGCGCGCCAGCAACATGCCAGATATCTGGTAATCGCCGAGCGAGCCCTTCTCGACCACAGACGCGTCGTGGCAGCGCGGGCCCGCCAACGCCAAGTACTGCGAGGCAGTCGTCTCGAACTTTACATAGCCGTAGAGCGACAGCAACGAGTCGAAGTGCAGGAACAGCAAGTCTAGCAAACGCAACCACTCCTCGGCCGTCTCCTCGCGGATAAACTCGACAAAGTCGTGCACTTCGACGAACAGTAAACACACCTCGCCGCGCTCGTCGTGGTAGCTGAGCGGTCTGTGCAAAACGTTCCGAAAATGCAGCGTGTAGTTCACGAGAAAACTCGGAACGAGAGCGCAAACGATGCTCGTAAGCTTGCTTACCTCTTCCGCGACCGGTTCTTCTTCGAGCCGCAGCAAATGGGTCGACAACGCGCCCCGCAGCACAAACCGCTGCGAAACCAAGAATAGTCCGATGCTGAACAGAATTGCAGCCTCTAGCGCCAGCACGCGCGCGAGACTCGTGTGCGCCGGCTGCGAACTGCGAAGCATCGCCGCCAGCGCAACCGCAGCAAGCGCCGCGCAGGTCATCGTACGCCGCTCGCTGCCGCAGAATCCGGCGCGCAGCCTGCGCAACGAAACGCCGAACAGCCCGAAAGACAGAATGCAGACGCTCGCGTAGAGCGGCAGCAGCAAGTTGCGAGCCAGCACGTCGCGGTAGTTACACAGCACGCTGATAGTCACGCAACAGAGCGCTACAAAGCGGTGCCATGTCTCCGGGTATCCATTCGCCTTGCCAAACAACGCCGCGAACACAAATTTGTGGGTCCTACAGACCAAGTACACGAGCGCCGTCTCTAAAGCCCAAAGCAAGCGGTGCCGTTCCAGTCTGTGTCGGAGCAGAAGGAGCAGTGGAAGCTTTGCGTACAACAACAGTTCCACCATGCGCAGGGGAAGGGACTCGCTTTTTGCCCGGCACCGCTCTGCAGCGCAGACGGCCTGCCGCGCAGAACACGAGACCCCGCTGGAGTACCACGACGGAAGAGCCGCCGAGGACGCGCTCTTTGCGCGTTGCATCGAGTTTTCCTGCACGACGCGCAAGCTGCTGCGCCCAGTTTGCCGCGCGTAGCGCTCTCGCGCGACCATAAATACGCCGCTGTTTTTGTAGTTTCGGAATTGCTTCAAGCCCAGTAGCTTGTACAGAACGATGCCAGCGCCGGGCACCGCGAGCTCCGCGTTTGCGCTGACATCTGTTGTTTCACCCGCCGCAACGGGCGGCGAGAAGCCTTCCGGCGGAGCGGCGACAAAGAAAGTGCGACTTGTTGCGCGCATAATGCCGAGCAGCGCAGCAGCCAGCAACAAGCGTTCGCTGCTTTGCTGCGCGCTCACCGCGCGCAGCAGCGTTTGCTGCACTTGCTCGTCGAACTCGCCGTTCTGGTGCGCGCACAACGCTGAAACCAGCTCACCGTGTTGCAAAAGCGTCTTCTGCTCGCGCTGCGCGCCCTCCGGCTCGCCACATGCAGCGGAGATCGGACTGCGCTTGCAGTTGGCGGTCAGACAGAAGCTGGAGCGCAGCGACGGAGAGAACGAAACCAAGCGAAAGTGCGTCTGCGGAAACATCCGAATCACCGCAAAACGCGTGTACTGGACACTGCGGTCGAACAGATGGCAAGCGAAGAGCAGCAGCGGCACAACAATGCACTCGTGCTGCGCCGCAGCAGCGAGTGCCTGCCAGCTGAACACAATCCGCAGCATTCCTATCCAGGTGCGAACAGAGCGATAACTCGCGGCGCAGTAAACGACGTACAACAGCGCGAAGCGCACGGAGCACAGCACAAACCGCAGTCTTTGCTTCGAGTCTCCCAGGCTCACGCGCGATGACAGCTGGCTGCGACATTCGACGACAAGCTGGTCCAAATGCTTTCTGACAGCGTCAAGCATGCCTGTGCGCTCTGTCTCCGCCGACGGGTTCGCCGCAAGGTCGCAGTGCTTGCCAGCGGCGACAGCGGATTCGCGCAGTGCGCGCAGCGCTTCGACGTAGTCCGTGCGCACTTCGACTTTCCGCGGGAAGTCTTTAGCACGAACCAGCTGCTCGCCGTGCGGCTGCGCGCCAGTAGTGAGCAAGTTGTGCAAAACCGAGAAACCGCACTGTCGGATTGCAGCATCGGCGGCGCGCGTCCACCTGCTAAAGTTGACGATGCCTAGCACGCAAACCGAGACAATATCAACGGCTGCCACGGTGCTAAACAGGTTGAAGCGACGCGTGACGCTCAGCGCGCCGTAAAGAGCGCTTAGCTGCACGATCACAAACTCGGCGCAGCACAGCGAGAAGCAAGTCAACGGTAGAGCGCAAAACTGCAGCTCCGCGAGCACGCATCGCACGAACGACGCCGGCTTTGTGAGCAGCGCTGCCCCAAAGGCGTGCGCCGCGAAATCGCGGCACACGCTGCGGAGCGAAAATGCGGTGCAGTGAAACGCCAGTGCGAACGACAAGTGCGCCAAGACGAACGCGAGGCACAGCGCGTAGGCCAGTGAGGAACCACGCGCGCCGAAGCTAAAACAGCCGAGCGCCAGCGCGGACTCGGCACCCATCAGCAACGCGAGCCGCAACTGCTCAAAAGCGCGCCGCCGCTCGAAGTGCACGCGCCAAGAGTCAGCCAAAAGCAGAGTGAAGCTCGAAAAGGTAGACAGCCCGACGTCGAAAGAAAAGTTGCGACTCGCGCTGTTGATCTCCTCTAGTGCGCGCGTCACCGAAAGCAGCAAACCGCTTTGCTCTAGCGCGGTTTCTGCGACAAAACTCTGCGTGGCGAGGTACTGGTTCACTTCAGCGACGAACGCTCGGAATTCTCGCCTCGAAATCGAGTAGTCGCCAAGCTTCTGCAAAACGCTCTGCAGGTTGAGCGAGAGAGAGGGCGAAACGCCTGAGCAGCTCTGCTCGAAACGCTGTCGCTTCGCCTCGTCCGAAACGTCGGAGCCGCTGCCCAACGGCCGTGAGCCGCTGTCCAGGCTCCAGCGTCCAAACAAGTTGCTGCTCAACCGTCGGACGAGCCGCAGCTTCGTCGATTGCCGACCCGCGTCGTGGATCAGTTTCCGCTTTGCGTAGATGTCGTACAGCCTGTCGAGCACACCGTGGCCGTGTACCTCCGCACTGCTCTCCCGCTGGGCTCGGTCGAATTCGGGCTCGCACTCCACAAGCCCAGCAGTTTCTTGGCGCGGCACGACACACGCCAAGTTTTCGGCTTCAGCACTGCGGGCACTGCTCGCGTTCTGCGGCGGTCTGGCGATTTCGTTTTCGAGTAGGTAGTCCTGGTCCATGAAGCCGCTGATATCGTTGGTCATGATACTGCTCGCGGGAATGCTGCGCGCGTCGACGCGCGGCGACGGTTCTCGCGGCCCGGGTGCGAAGCTTTCTGCCGACTCGCTCTGCACGCCCAGCGGGACGCTAACCACAGGAACATCTTCGTCCACCAAGACTTTGTGAGGCACGTTGGCGAAGTCTGGCAGCGCGGGGTCCCTCGAGACTACCACGCAGTGCTGCAGTTGCGCGTCGTGCCGCTTGAGCTCGCAAATTAGTTTGTCGCAGCTCGCGACAGTGCTGTCCTGCAGCACGACCAGCCGCGCGCTGCACAGCAACTCCGCGAGTGTCGCCACACAGCCGAGGTTATCAAACAGCTCGCTCATAAAGCTGCTCGTCAACACCACGGCGCCAACGCTAGCCGCGGGCCTGGCCTTCGCGGAGAGCGAGAGCGCGGAGGCAGAGGCGGCGTCTTTTAGACTGCTCAGCACCAAGCAGCTCGTCTTGTCGTTCAGCAGGCCGATGTGGTGCAGAGTCGCTACGAGCAGCGAGGGCGCCGCGCAACGTGAAGCCCAAACCCTCACGTTGCGGCGAAAGCTCAGGTTGAGAAAGTCACAAAGATCGAGTTCGAAGCAGCCGCGCAGCCCGACGACGCCCGACACGTTGGCGAACATGACCAAGCGCAGCAACGTCTTGCTGAGCAAAAGAACGCCGGCGCTCGCGTCGCGCGCACCAGCCGTCAAGCGGTAGATCAGCGACAGCGTGCTCTGCAGCGAAGCGAACGAAAGCTTTTTCCAGCCGTACAGCAGCGCGGCGCAGCCGTTCTCGATCAGCTTGCTGGCGACTTGCACACTATGGAAAAACTGCTTGCAACGCCCTGAGCGGTACACCGCCTCGACGTTTTGCGACACGAGCAGTTGCAGCGCGTCTGCGACGAGCCCGAACAGCAACACGAACTGGCCTTCCTCTGTTTCCAAAATAGTGAGCGAGCAGCCGCTGTAGCAGAACCGCAGGACCAGCGGGCAAGTGGTGTTGTCGGACGCGGAGCCCAGCGCGCAGAGATCGGCGCCGTGGGGTTTGAGAAAAAAGTCTTCCTCAGCCGCAAAGCGGGTGAATGCCGCGTTCAGCACTTCAGAAGTTGGCTCGAACCGCGCAGGGCGTGACTCGAAGGACAAAGCGTCGGTGACCGGGAAAGAAAGCTGGCTGTTGAGCCAGCGAAAGTACGCCTCGTCATTGACGTCGACGTCGAACTCGGAACTTTTGCCGTGCCGCACCGCAGCGTCGATGTTCTGGTAGCTCTTGCTGACCTTGAGCGCCGGGACCGCAGCGGAAGACAGCGGGTCGGTCAGCAGCAGGGCTGCAAAGAAGAGAAAGTCGGGCGAGTCTCTGCTGGAGAAATCGAAGGCGTGCGCCGGGGCGGCCCCGGTCGGCGGCGGGCGCGACTTCGCTGGCAGCCAGAAAGGCGGCACGCTGTCGCTGAAGACGTGGACGTAGGCGAGCTCGGGCTCAGCGGAGCTGCGCAACAAACGGTTCGACAAGTCCAAAACGACGTGCTGGATGCAGGGCAGTTCGGCCAGCAAATTCGAGTTCTTATTGAACGCGAAGAACACTGGGCTCAGCAGGCTTGAAAACGCTCCGGTCTGCAACCAGCGCAGCGCGCTGCTCGCAGCGGCGTGCTTGACAACCAGTCTGCAGAGCGAGCGCGCGTACATTTCATGCGCGGCTGCCACGTAGAACCAATAAACCTGCCACGTCAACAGCAGCCACAGCGCACTATAGCGGCTGAGCGCAAAGACGTCAGCCCAGCCGACGGTTGCGAGCGTCGCAGCGTCAGAACGCCGCGCGAACAGGCTCGAGCCCGATAAGCGGTTGCAGCTAGTGGACAGCACGTAGAGCAGCGCAAACAGCGCGGTCGAACGCGCGACGGTCAGCGAGAGCGACCAGAAGAAACGCGCCAGCCTTCGCTTCTGCGCTCTGCAGAGCACGAAGAAGCGCTGTCGGAAAGAGACGCTCGGGGCGGGCGAGAGCACAGCCGCGTAGATGAGACCGTCGGAGAGCAACAGCGAGCCTGCCAGCACGAGGTTCTGCGCGGAGACCGCGCAGGGTCGCGGCAGCGCGCCAATGGAGAGATGGCCGCATGGTGTGTAACCCGGATGCAACTCTTCGGCGCCCTGGCCGGCACAAGTCGTCACGCAGCCAGAGACGACTTCCGGTTCGCAAAGCCGCGCTCGGCTCAGAAGTTCGACGAGCGGTCGCAGAAAAGTCAGAGTGCCGCGCAGCTGGCCGAACGCGGCCGGGCTGGTCAGGTGCTGCGTGACGAAAAGCGCGACTTTGCGCGAGAGGCCGCAGCCGTGCATGGTCTGCACTTCGAAGTCGGCCTCGCCGCCCGCGGCGGAGGCTTTGAGCAACAAACAATCAAACGAAAGCCTGGAGCCGGACGCGAAAATAAGAATGTCGCCGGGCCGGACGCGCCGCTCCTCGAGGAGCTGCAGACCGCCCGACGCAGGCTCGACGCGCAGACAGTACCTCGGCAGCGTCTCGTAATCGCGAACCGCTGCGTGCCGCTTCCGCTCGAGCGCGGCGCCGCTGACGAGCGCCGAGGCGATCAGCTGCGCAATCTCTACAAAAAAAATGCCGCGGAGCGCGCGCCCGCTGAAGAGAGTAGCTGAAAAACTACAGACGGCGAGCGTCTGCACAGCGCTGCTCGCGTGCCAGCCAAACGGGCCGCAGACTAGCCGCGAGAGCGCGTCAACGACGCCGAGCTCGCTGAGCAGCTGCGGGAGCCGCAAATCGGGCAGTCTGCCGCCACGCAGCTCTTGATTCAGAGTGATCATTCAACGATCAGCCGCGTATAGGCGCAGAAAAACCAGCGCGGCAGACTCTCCTTGCGGCCGCGTGGTTCCAGAAATATTTTTAAATACACAAATTGGCAGTGTGTGATGGTGGTGTTGACGCCTCTGAAAGTCCTCGACTCGGCGCTCGGCGTGCGCGTGCTTGTCCAAATGAAAGAGGCGCGCGAGATAAGCGGCGTGTTGCGCGGCTTCGACGAGAACCTCAACCTGCTGCTCGAGGACGCAACCGAGTACCTCAGGCTGCCGAACGCGTCGACGAACGGCTTCGACCTGGTCAAAAAGGCGCGTGAGCGCGTGATGATCACCCAGTTCCAGGTTCGTTTCGTAAGTGTGTTCGCGCGACCACTAGATCGTGCCCGCGGGCGCGGAGCCCAGCGAGGACCTGCTCGCAATCGCCGCCCAGGCGCCGCTCATGTGCTGAGCCGCTGCTTTCCTCGGCGCCGCTTCTCGCGCAGCTGCGCAACTACAACTGCTTGGCTCTAACACTAACAGCCGCGACCCGCGCTCGACGCGTTGCCTCGAGACTCCGCGGCTGCGCGAGTCTCTAGTTTGCCGCCACGCAAGCCGCGTCGAATCAAGATCGGCTCGTCAGCGACAGAATATGCATTATAAATTGTACTTGAGTTTGAGCCCGAACAAGCGAGACTCAGCCTTGGACTCATCCTTCGTGTCGATCTGCGTCTCGGCGCGGCGCGACTTACCTGAATCGAGGCGACCACTGTCGCCGCGGCGCTAAGCTGCTTCTGCAGCGTGAAGTTCAGCTGGTGCGCGCTGTTGAAACTCGCTTTTGAGACGACGTTTTCGGGCAGCGCGCGCGACACGCCAACCGCCCACTGCAGCGGCATGCCGTCCATGTGGTGCGTTAAGGTCGCCGCGTACGCAGTGCCGGCCTTCGCGTAGGACGCGCCCAGCGTCGCGCAACTCACAGAGTAGTTCGCGCAGCCCGAAAGCAGCACGCTCGCCTGCACGTCCGCCTTCTCTACCTGCGTGCCTACCCGCGCGCCGACGGCGCTGAGTGCCGCGGAGTGCAGCCTGCTGCCGTGCACGTCGGTCGCGAACGCGAGCTTCCAGTCCGCGACTGGGCGTTCCGCGAGCAGCCCGGCGCTCCAGGCGTAGCCGGGTACTGCAAGCTGCGAGTCGAGCGTCAGGCACGGCGTCTTGTAGTCCGCCTTGAGTGTCACGGAGTTCAGTTCCGTCAGTTTGCGGAACTTCCGAGCGGAACTCGCCGAGAGCGAGACGCTCGGGGTCGGGCGCGTCTGCAGTCCGAGGTTCAGCGCGCCTTTGCAGTCCGAAACTGCGGAGGCCGTCACGCCGCAGACGCTGCGCGAGAACTTCAGGCTCGCGTGGTTGGTCGGTCCGAAGTTCAGACTGCCCGTGGCCGCGCCGATCACACCACCGCAGCTCTGCGAAATCTCGAGCGCCCAAGGCTTTTTGACGTTCGCGCCGTCGTCAATCACGACTTTGTAGTGCTGCGTCAGCGAATTGCAAACAGCCATGATTATATTTCACCAAAAAGATGGAAAAATACGCCATTAAAAGTGACGCTCTGATCGCGATTTTCGTTTCCGAGTCTAGCGTGCGCGCATTTATCTAAAAGTTGAGCGCGTTCACCAAGAACGAGTAGGCCGACACTATATGCAGCACCGAGCCAGACAGGAACAGATTGTCGCCGACGTCCGCACTACGCGCCCAAAGCTTGCAGCAAGCGGCGGCGATGAAGAGCGCGTCGCCAATGAGGTTGAAGACGTGTGACGGAATGTACAGTATAATCGGACAGCGAAGGTTGCCGAAACGTTCTGGCAACAGTGGGAACATGAAGTCGAGCTTCGAGCAGTAGTAGTAGATGTTCACGCACGTGCTGCAGAAGAGGAAGAAACACCCCACCACTATCACTTCCGACAACCTGTAGTTGAACCTTTGACTCGCGAGCGGATCGGCGGCACTGCCCAACAGCAAGATAATACCGCCCAGCATCAGCAGCATGTCGGATAATTCGTTGTTACTGCGCCCGCCTAACAGCCTACGGCGCCAGACCGTGCGCTGTTCGGACGTCGCGTTGCCGTCCGCGCGCTGCTCAGAAGGCAGATTGCTGCTCCCCCACTGCTCGGGACGCCTGCGATGCACGAAAATGGAGCTGACTCTCGAGTAAAGTATTAGTATGATACTGGCAAAGAAAAAGGTAAATTCAGCTACCAATGTGTCTTTCTTCTTCATCAAACAAGAGCCGATCAAGAAGCAAACGTCGGCAATCAAGCCGATCGTCTCGGCGCCTAGCTGCGCCGTCCGTAACTGGGTGCCGCAAGCCATTCACGAAATGCAAACTTTCAAATATCTAAAAATTACTTGGCACTCGCTAATTTCTCAACAAGCCGCGAAAGTAACTCCACGCCCCAGCCGCGCGCCTCGCACGCGTCTCCGTTCCACGCAACGCCCGCAATGTCGAGGTGCGCCCACTTCGTTTTCGCGTCGTCCACAAATTCGTGCAGAAAAAGTGCAGCAGTGATGGTCCCCGCACCGCTGTGCCCCACCTTGCAGTTGCGCAAGTCCGCGATGTCGGACTTGATGACTTTGCGGTAAGCCTTGAAGAGCGGCAACGGGTGAACGTACTCACCGCACTCGCAGCCGAGTTCCGCGATGGTATTCGCGAAGGCTGCGCAATTGCCGAGCACGGCCGCCATCTTGTCGCCGAGCGCGACGCGGCACGCGCCCGTGAGAGTGGCGATGTCGACTACGTAGTGCGGAAGCTCTGGCGTCGCCTGCTGCTGCGCAAAGAACAGCGCGTCTGCGAGCGCGAGGCGCCCCTCCGCGTCCGTGTTCTGCACCTCGACGGTCTTGCGGTTCATCGCGGTGACAATGTCGCCAGGCATCGTCGCGTTCGCGTCGATCGAGTTGTGCGCGATCGCCAGTACGCAACTCAGCCGTACGTGCGGCAGCTTTCGCCAGGCCGTGGCCAGGAATGCGCCCAGCGCGACCGCGGAGCCCGTCATGTCGTACTTCATATGCGTGATGCTGGCTCCCGTTTTCAGGTTGTAGCCGCCAGTGTCCATCGTGATGCCTTTGCCGACCAGCGAGATCTGCACGCTCGGGTTGCGGCCTTCGTACGTCAGGTGAACCAGTCGCGCGCCGTGCACGGATCCTCGCCCGACCGACAACAAAGCGCCCATGCCGAGCTCCTCGAGCTCCGGCACGTCCAGCACGCGCGCAGAGACGTCGGCGCAGCCTGCGAAGTTGCGCATCAATAGCTGTACGACGTCGCAATAAGTTTTCGGGTTCAGGTGGCTGGCTGGCGCATTGACCAACGCCTTTTGGATCACCGTCGCCGCCGCCAGCTCGCGGGCGCGCTCGACCGTGTTCTCGTCGCACTTCGCGCCGCACTTCGCGTCGCACTTCGCGTCGTCGAAGCTCAACGCAAGTTCGTCGAGCACAGGCACCTTCGGCTCTGCCGTCTTGAACACCTTGTCATCGACCAAACCAATGAAAAAGTGCGCTAGGTAGCAAACGGCCTCGCGCTCGTCAACTCCGGAGAGCGAGAGTCCGAGTCGGTTCGCTCCGAAGCTGCGCGCCTTTTTCCCGAGGTCTTGTCCCAGCTGGCGCAGCGCCTCGAACAGCTCGCCCGAGCTCTCGCTAGCGTTCGAGCCAACCGTCTGCAAGTAAACGAGACCCGAGGAGAGCGGCAGCGCAATGGTCTCCGGCTTCTCGAACTTCTTGCCCGCGCGCTCGAGCGGTTTCGCAGCGTCCCAGGCTTTGCTTCTGCGATCAGAACCGGAGACAGGCGCGCGCGCGTCCAGCTGCACGAACACGTCGCACTGCTCGGCCGACTCGATCGGTACCAGACTGCAGTTCAGCTGTAGCGCACAGCGCATGTTAGGCAAAATCGCAGCGTCTCGCAAGTTTAAGTCGAGCATCGCTTCACTAAATAAATTAATTTATCCGCGCCATACGCGCACAATTCGGTCCTTCCCGGCGGAAGCCAAACTCGAGCCGTCCACCGACCACTCTAGGCAATAGACCTGGTCCGCCGCGCCTGGCAAGTCTTTGACGAGCTCGCGCTTGTGCACGTTGACAATCTTGATCGTAGAGTCTTTGCTGCACGAAGCGAGCAGCCGGCTGTCGCTCGACCAGCAGACTCGGTAGACCGCGCCAACGTGGCGATGGAACGCGCAAACCAACCCGCCGGTGTAGCCGTTCCAGAGCTTTACGGAGTTGTCGAAGCCGGCGGACGCGAGGTGCTTGCCGTCCGGCGAAAAGGCGGCGTGACAGACCGGCTTCTGGTGGCTAGCCATCTTGTTGATCAAGCGGCAATCATCTAAGAAGTTCCACAAACAAAGCGAAAGGTCGTCGCTGCACGAAACCAACAATTCGACGCGCAGCTGCGCGAAGACTGCGCGCCAATTCTCGGCCGCTGCAGCGAAGAGCGCCGGCAGCGGCGCGGAGCTCGCGGCGGCGGAGAGCGGAAAGAACGCTCCGCTCTTCTTGATGTAGTCGGTGTTCAGCGCGATCGAGTTGATCCAGTTGGCGTGCACCGTTTTTCTGAATGCCAAGCCGCTCGCGTTCATACTCCAGAGACAGATGGTCGCGTCGCGCGCGCTGGAGTACAGAAATGGGCCTTGCAGCGTCGCACCCTCGCAGCGCGCGCTCAAACATCCGCTCCAGAGCACGGTCGACACCATCTTCGAGTGGCCATCGAAGTGATGCAGTGCGCGCTCCGCCATGCAGTTCCACACGCGCACCGCGCCCTGCTGGCAGCCGCTCGCCAACAACGGCACGTCGTTCAGCCAGAACTCGTGCAAGTGCAGCGGCAGAAAGTCCAGCGAGGTTATTGCGCCCGGGTGCCCACGCAGTACTGCGTGCGGCTGAGGCTCTGTCGCGAGCGGCGAACGCAAGTCCCAAATGCAGATGAGCTTATCGACGCCGCCCGAAGCCAAAAAGCGCAAGCACGGACTGAAGGCCAAAGCGGTCACCGGCTTGGTGTGAAACGCGAGCGTGCGCAGCGCAGTCGCCGTGCGCAGGTCCCACAGCCGCACAGTGCAGTCGCCGCTGCCGGTCGCGAGCAAGTCGGAGCAGGCGTTGAGGGCCATGCTAATCACAGGAGCAGCGTGCCCGCGCAGCACGGCGGTAAGGTGCTGGACCGGCGAGATGCGGAAGGGCATGGAACAGGAGAACGCGATTTCGAGCGTGGTCTCGGTCGACACAGACGGGTCTCGCGAGCGCGCCACTCGCAGCGCGTCGAGCACGGTCGAGCGCAGCGGCACCGAGCCGTCGAAAACCGTAAACTCGTACTCCTCCCCCGCGCCCTCCTCGTTCTTTAGCGTGCGAACGAGCTGCGTGAGCTCCTTGCGCGACGTGGAGATGGGCACCACGAATTCCTCGTCGAAGCGCGCTTCATTGGCTCCAACAAACCTGATGATAAGCGAGTCTCCGAACTCCGCGCCGGCGTCCGCGCTAGCAGCTTCCGTTTTGCGCGCCTTTTGAAAGCGAACCATGGCGCTAGTCTCGCAGCTGCGGCTCGCGGTAGAGACTATTTTAAATTATCTGTTCTTTTTACGTCCTCTTTTCTCGGCGCGTTTGAGCGTCGCCACCACGTCTGCAGCGCGCGTCTCGTCCGCCGTGTATGCTTGCATAATTTGCTCGAAGTACATTTCCGCCGACGCGAAGCAGAAACTCTGCAATGCCTTGTAAAAGCAGAGCAGGTCCACGGCGCACGTCTCGGCGTTCGAACGCATTTCGCCGAGACCAAAGTCGATGACGTACACGCCGTCCGAGCAAAGCAAAAAGTTCGACGTCGTGAGATCACCGTGCGTCAAATTCGCTTTGAAGTGCAGCGCGTGCAGCGTCTCGCCGATCTCGCGCCACAACGCAGGCTTCAAGTTCTCCGGGCCTGCAGCGACGGCGGCACTGAGCGTGCCGCCCTCCAGCTTCTGCATGACCAGCACGCCCGCGGCCTCGTCGACCTTGAACACTTCCGGCACGCGGACTCCGGCTTTGCGCGCCTTCGCGAGGCAGCGCGCTTCCGCGCGCGTGCGCAGCTTGCGCAGCCGCCCGTCGAGCTCCGGGTGGCGGTAGCTGCGGCTGTAGCGGTGCTTCAGCAGCGCCGGCTGCGCGCCGTCCAGGCACTCGTAAATGCGCGACTCCGCGCCGGAGAACAGCAGCACGCCGAGGCCCTCGAGCGGATTTTGCATTTTTTGTGGATTTAAACTTCGAGATTCTTCGCGCTGAGTAGCGTGTAAAAGGTCTCGAGGTAGACGCGGCCGACCTCGTTCGGGTCCAACTGCTTTAGCAGCGTATCCAACTCATCCTTCGTGAGCTCTGCCATGTTCTTGATGATTTCTTTGAGCTGCTCGACTTGCAGCGCGCCGTCGCCGAAAGAGTCGAACGGCTTCAGCGCCTTCTCGTAAATCGTCTTGAGCTGGTTCTCGGGCTTCAGCTTTTGCGCCGCCTTGCAGACGTCTTCAAGCGTCAGGGGCGCCTTTGCCGAAATGCTCAGCTCTTCCGCGATCGCATCGACGTCCTCCGACTCCGTGCGATAGCCCGCGCTCTGCAGCACCAACTCGAGATCCGCGCGCGACTTCACCCAGCCAGCGTTCAGCGCCTCGGTGATCGCCCGCAAGTCGCGCTCCTCGACCTGTACAGGCATATGAAAAAAGTGCACCTTTTGTTCGAGAACATTGACACGAATAAATTAAATAATCTAAACGCTTCCTTGGCCCGGTTGCTTTGCGAAAAGTCGGCGGCGTTTGGCCCAGCAGGGCAAAGCCGTGGCAGAAGACTTGTCGCACTTACTCCAATCAGAACTCTAGAAATCATCTCTAGGCGCGCAAGTGCTCGCCTCAGAAACACAGACCAATGAATTCATCACAACAGTGGAAGTCAGACATCTAAGGGTGTTAAGTCGCTCGTCGGACCGCGTCCTCGCGAAACACTGCGAATGTTAACAGTTTGTCATCATTAATTTGTGTGAAAAAAAACGGAGACAAACGCACCGTTGCAACTCATGTTTCGACTAATATTATTTTGCATCCTTTCAATCACGTCTGTTATGTCACAAGAACTCGTCTACTTCGACATCAAGCTCGACAGCCAGCCGGCCGGCCGCATCGTCTTCAAGCTGTACGACGACAAAGTGCCGAAAACGGCAAAGAACTTCCGCGAGCTCGCAAAGGGCACGGTGGATTACCCCTCGGGCTCCGGCAAGAGTGGCAAGATGACCTACAAAGGCAGCAGCTTCCACCGCGTGATCCCGAACTTCATGATCCAGGGCGGCGACTTCACGAACCACAACGGCACTGGCGGCGTCTCGATTTACGGCACCAAGTTCGAGGACGAGAACTTCGACGTCAAGTTCACGGCGCCGATGCAACTCGCTATGGCGAACGCCGGCAAGAACACCAACGGCTCGCAGTTCTTCATCACGACCGTCGTGACGCCGTGGCTTTCGGGCAAACACGTGATCTTTGGCGAGGTCGTCGAGGGCCAAGACGTTGTCAAGAAGATCGAGTCTGCTGGCTCGCCGACCGGGCAGCCATCGAAGAAGGTGGTCATTGACGACTGCGGCGTGCTTCCGCAGTAGGCGCGTCAGCGGTTGCGATCGCTCCTTGATTCTATGTACTGCTTATTTTTCAGCGGCTCTGGCTGCGCAGCTAGGCCGTCTCAAATAAACCGTTTACAAACTGCAAAAGCCGCGAGCGGTACAGCTTCGGGTGCACGCAGCTGATTCCGGCGGAGTCATACCACAGGCCTTTGAAAAAGTGCTCGACCTTCTTCGTGCAGAGGTAAGCGGATAAAATGTCGATGAGCCCCAGAAGCAGCCATGCGTTCGAGCCCTTCACAGGGTACGCGCGGCCGGCGCGCACCAGCAGCGTCGCCTCCTCCTCGGACTTCACGATAATCACGCCGATCAGCAGCGAGTAGTCGATCAGCTTGTTGCGCTGCAGAAAGAGCGTGTCGCGCTCGAGCTGCTGCACGAGCCTGCGCTTGTGCTCGGGCTGCAGCGAGAACTTCACGTTGCGCTCGACGATGTCCACGTCTTTGAGCGCAACGTTGCCGCTCGCATGCAATTCGGCGTATGCCTTGGCGCTCGAGCGCCAGCTGAAGGCGCCGCGACGACGCGGCTTCTTCGCAACATCTTTGGTTGCTCTGCCGACCCAGCTGCCTTTGAGGTCGTATCTTTGGACAAGCTTCAGTTTGGTGCGGAACACATTCTCGAGCACGATGATGTACACGGCGCGGAACTGGCTAAGCACCACTTTGAAGACGCCATACACTTTGTTGATCAGCGTACTACTCGGTGCACTAACGACATACTCGACAAACTGCGGCAGAATCTGCAGGAAGCAGTGGGCTTCCGCCTTTGAGATCGTTTTGATCACGTAGCGCCCGTCGAAGGAGTAGTAGAAAAAGCTTCCACTCTTGCCCTCCGAGCACTGCTCTTTCAAGCTGCGCAGGTTTCCGAGCACTAAGTTGCCGATGAGTTTGCGGTGGCTTAGCGAATTGCTGAAGTCGTAGGCGAGGCACACGTCGCGCAACTTTTGAAACAGCGCAGGGTAGTACTCGATGAACGCTGGCCCCTGTGCAACAAATCGAACTAAGCGGCAAACGAGCCGCTGCAAGTAACGCTTCCAGCCGCGGCAGCAACCTGCGCGCTTGAGCAGCGCGTGCTGCTGCGCGACAGACGCGCTCGCGGGCTCCTCGGCGCCTGCAAGACTGAGCATGTTAACGTGTTGCGCAGACGAAAACGAGCACTCAGAGAGCAACAGATTGCGCAGCGAGGGCGAGGAAATCGTGACGGTCGTTTGGCTGAGCGGGTCAGCGGCGTTCGCGCACTTCCAAACTTCGTACTGCATTTCGACCACGTCGTTGCAAGAGCGGAGCGCAAACTTCGGCACGCTACTCAACTGGCTGCACAACTCTTGCACCGAAGTGAGGACGCGTTTTCTCTCGTTGTGCTCGCCAAGCGAGTTGCAGTAGCGGAGCGACTTTGAAAACAGCTGCGATACCGTGATTCCGAACAAGATGTTGAGCGTCTGCTTCCAGCTGAAGTGTCCGAAGTAGACGATGTAACGGAGCATGTCGAAGTCGTAGAGCGCGGCGCTGCCAAGTTGCTTCAGGTTCTCTGCCTCGTAGACCATCTGACGCATGTAAGCCACGAGTCCAGAGAGCTCGAAGATCATGAGCAGATTTTCGAAGCCATTCAACCCGGGCACGAGCTCGACGATCGAGCGCAGCAATTGCCCTACTTCGTGCAAGTTTTCGCAGCTGACGCCGCCGACCAACGTGTGCTCGCGGACGAAGCAGTGCAGCATGCCGAGCACGTGGAACTGCAGCTGAGAGCCGCTGTACTCGTTCATAATTTTGGTTGCTTCACACTTGAGAGCGTGCGAAAAGCCTATCGCAGCAGCCGCGTCGCGGCGCTGCACTTCGTCCGCGCTGAGCTGCTCAATGTGCTTCTGCACGGTAGCGGCGGCCTGCTCAAACAGCTGCTGCAGCTCGACGGATCGCAACACGAGCAGCTGCGCGTCTTCCGTCAGCGCGCAGTAGTCGACGACGCCGAGAATTCTGCGCAGAATGTAGTCTCGGTGCAGCTTGGTGAACGCCTCAAAGTCCATCGTTTGCAGCCCACAGCTGTACGAGAAAAAGAGCGCCAGCGCCAGCGACTGCAACGAAGAGTTCAGGCAGGGAGCGCTATCGAGCTCAGGCGCGTACTGCTTGTGAAACGATAAGATAGTGTCCACGAAACGTGCGACGTACACAAAGTCCTCGCCTTTCGAAAAGACGTGGAAGCTGAACATCGCGTTGATTTTTTGAGAAGACGATGTGAGTTTGATGATGCCCTTGAACCACTCGCGGAAGCAGATTTCGCCGTCTTCGTTAGCGTCGAATGCCGAGAACAGCGAACTGATCAGAAGCTCGCCGCACGCATCGTGCAGCAGATCGACGGAACTCGAGAAGAGCCGCGTGTCCATCGGCGCATAGCGCGTCACGCGTCGGAAACGCTTGTACAAGTGCCTCACCAGCGACTCCGGCACGTGGTGGTCGCGGCTGAGTGCCTCGATTTCGTGCCGCGGCAGCAGCATGCCGCATTCATCTCTGCCACAGCACCCTAAGTGGATGTTTTCGCGCATCTAGCTCTGAGCAACGAGCGCGAAGGCATGTTGGCAGCGGCTGGGCGCGCTTCTCAGGAAAAATGCAAATATATTTCACATAATACTCACAGGCGGCCGGAAATGATCGCAAATTTTTCGGAACACGAAACCGCCGCGAGGTTCTAATTTCAGTTGAACGCAATGCACAGTTTTCTGCTGCTGTGGCCGCTTTGCACGTTTGCTTGGAACATCGATGGCCGCGCCGCCGTGTTCATGAGCGCGAACGCGCATTTTGACCCCAAGCTGTCGATGAAGATTAAGAAAATACTGAAGGGCGAGTCGCTGCCAGCGATCAGCCCCTGGTTCAGCAGTTACCTGGAGACCTACCCGCAGCAGCGAGCGGCTTTGCGCCAAGGGCCCGTGCTCGACGCGGCCTCTCGCGCCGCCGATTGCGAGCTCGAGACGCTGCCCTGCCCCGACAATGCGTGTCTGCTGAGCCTGCTCGAGTACTTTCTCCACGCGTTCTCGAAAACGCCGTATGTGCCGCGCAGCGCCCAACACGGCGAACTCAACTTCTCGCAGAGCGAGTCGTTCAAGATGCTCGCGAACTTGCTCGCAGAGCTCTCCAGCTTCGCGAACTATGTGTACCGTGACGCGGCCGTAGACGCGCTGCGCCTCACCGGCCCGGCCGGCGCCGAGCCGGTCTCGCTGCACGACTATTGGTCGGACGCGATCGTGCGCGAGCTGGTTGCAGAAAATCAGCAAGTGCTCTATGGCGGGTTGATGCACGCGGGCCTGCTCAGTCCGCACATCATGCACCTACTCCGCGAAGAGTTCAACAGTGAGCCCGACACATTCGCCTACCTGAACAAATGGGCACTCGGCACCTACGCGACCGCCTGCCGACACGCATTCCGCCAAAAATCGCTCGTGTCCGCGGCCGGCCTACCCGAGCTGCAGCTGTTGCGGCAACACTACCCCGCTGCGGGGCCCGAAAGAAACGAAGATATGCACCTGGCGCTAAGCAGCATACTGCAAGCCGGTTACAAGCTCTACCTGGTTCTCTCACGCGTGGTCGAGCAGGCTAACGTCAACTCGCTGCGCGCCGAAAACGCACTGGTGCTTCTTGATCAGAAGCAGTCCGACCTGTTCAGCGCGTCGCGCGCTGCGCATATAGAGCAGACGATCGCAAAGCCCAGCAAAGCGGTTTACCTCGCGTTCGTGGGCGTAGTGGCGTTCGGCGGCGCACTATTATTTAAATGCTTAAAACAAAATAAGCGCAGCTACAACCCGCTGCGCCGGTGAACAACGCGCGTTGGCCAATCTGCGTCACAGGCAGCTGCGCGACACAACTGCAGCGCTGAGCTGCGCATAGATCGCAGTCCTCGCTTCACGCTATGCGCTTGCCTACGTCGCTCGAGTACGCCGCGCTCGACGCCGTGCTTGCAGGCTCCGTATCGAAAGAGCTCGCGGAGCTGGAGCCGATTTACGACCTGAGCGTGCTTAAGCAGCTGAAGTTCAGAAGCTACGACGTGCACTTCAAACTGCGCCGCTTCGGGCGCAACTCGGTGTTGAGCCAACTCGCGATCAACCCCGAAACTTTAAGCGCAAGCATCGCGACGAACAAAAAAATAGTCGTAGCTTTCGAGCTGAGCCAAGTGAAGGGTCTGCAAGTGCTCGAAGGCGAGAGCCATCGCAGTGACACCCTCGTGCTGCATCTGCGTCGCTTTCTAAACCGGAAGCTCGTCGTGCAATTCGACTTGCCGGCTGAGCTACAAGAGCTCGCGCTACCGCTGCTGCACCTCTGCGGCAAGGCGCGGCCACAGGAAGACTTCCGCGCCTTCGCCATTCGCGACGCCGTTTACTACACGGACTGGGCGCGCTTTTCGAAAGCCGGCCGTCTGACTCCCGAGCAACTGCTCGAGCTGGCCAAAAGCCACGGCGTGCAGCTGTCTAGCGCCGTGCTCGAAGCTTTGTTCCGCACATACCACCCGTTTCTGCTCGGGTCGCTCAACTACAGTCAGTATAAACTCGTGCTCCGCATGTGCTTTGGCGTCGACTTGCTCATGAAGAACTTACGCGTTGTGAACGAGCGAAGGCTGAGCACCAGCCAGCTGCGCAAGATTTGCAATTGCGAGCAACTGGCGTACGAGCCGCCTCAGCCTCCGAGCTCTGCGTGGAGCAGCGAGATGGAAAACGCAATGCCCTCTTACCTCAGCTACTACGAAGCGCACAGGGAGGTGCGTGATTCTACCAACGAATTGCGCGTTTCGCAAGGAACCTCGCAGCAGAGTTACGAGCAGCGCAAACTCACCGAGTTCTGGATCCACACCAGCGAACTCAAGCACCAGTTGATCGTGCGCCGCAAAAGTGCAGCGTTCGCGGTGCTGAGCGCGCTACTCAACCAGAACGTCAGAGCGCTACACCTCGTGCTGTTCTGGCTCGAAAACCAGCTGCACGCGCGCTTCCTCAGCTTCGCGAGCGATCT